GATGCACCTTAGTCTCTAGACTGACATCGTTGCTTCTCAGTACTCTGACACTTGTCATATATAATATTGCTGTTATCTCCTATTCTGGCTTGCTTTTGCACTTGTTCTGTCAGATCATTTAATGCACGGAAGTTTCGTACTTTAATGTAGTCTAGTTTATAAATGTCTTTCCTCTATGTTTCACACTTGTTTTTTTGCATCTTATTTGAGAAGGTTTTCTCCATCCCACCCAAGGACATGACGCTGTCCCGCCTGCCCTTTTTGGTACAGCTAAGCCTGCAGCCCAGCTGCAGCTGGTTCTTGTGTCTAGTGTGAAGCAAGAGGCAGGATGCACAGGTTAACACGGCAGTTTATTTGGAAAAACCAGCCTTTCCGTCACTGCACTGCAGTGCTGTCTTTTTGTGATTGGTTAAGTTCCCTGAGTGTGTGCTGCGTTTGCTGGCCGATTCTGTGCTGCTCCCATGGTGTCCTTGTGACCGGAGCGTTAGTATGGGGCACTTCATGCTCCCCACCTTTGCTCTTCTCTCTTCCTGCTATTCTTGGCCCTTTGGTTTTCCATTTACATTTCAGCATGAGTGTGTCGGTTTCTGCACTCACCATGGTCACATGTCTGGGAATTAAGCTTGCTAAAATTTTTTGGATTCCTTAAAGTCTTTTAAAAGTTCAAAGTAGCCATCTTATATTTGATATTTGACTTAGAAAACACTGTCAGGAAAATACTTGCTCATTTGCGGTTAGACCAGTAAGGCTTAGTTTCATTTCAGAATTAATGAATAAAAACGTATTTATGGATATTCCCAGGTTACCTTGAACCCTATTAAAACCAGTATGAGGTGCTTTCTCCTTTTGGAGATTTGATTTTTGGATGAAAGACTCCTGAAGGAGAGCTGGTGGTGCTGGGTGCTCTGCTTGGGTGGAGGAGGCAGGGTGTGCCGACTCGCCCAGAGGAGGGGTCTCGTAAGGGGGCTTACAGGGGTGACCTGAGGAGGTTGAGGTGCTGTGTCAGGTGAAGGTGCAGTGAGCACCGCAGACAACAGAAGACACACGTGTGCGACATTGACACTGTGGGCTGGTGCTTCTCCCTGGACCTCGAAGGCTATTTTGCCAACTTCATAGGAAGTTCTTCACCATCGTACTTGGCAGCGTCACTGGCTCATTTAAGATGAAAATGGTCATGTGGTGGTGTCTTCAGCTTTATGTAGAGAAATGGTGGCCTTTCCCCTTGTGATGCCCTCACCTGGTGCGAAAGCAGGCTGAGAGTCATCTTGGGGCGCGGGGCACGACTCAGAGTACAGCACTCTCAGAATCCAGCACTCACTGCCAAGAGTTTTTATTGAGCAAATCCAGGCACTTGGCTTTACCTGTGAGCCTTGAAGCTCACCTAGAAGCTCCTGGAGCATTAAGTCCGATCTCCCTTGAAGCAGAACCACAGCATTAATGTCCTTACAGGGACATCAGCTGCTGTGGTGTGCTGGATGTTGTCTTTCTGAAGAAGTGGCTGTTGGCTCAGACTTGATCTACAGGGATTTGCTGAAGTGGTGTTTGACCTATATCCAACTTCACTTTTGGACAAATCTAACTTTGGATGTGATTATGTTGAAACCTAAAATATATTTATGTTACAGACTTAAGGAAACTCAGTAATTTGTGAGGCTCATAGAGTAGTGCATGAAAAGAAAATTAAACCATTTATGGTTTGAATTACAGAAAAGGGGACACATTTTACCACACCACTGGCTTAAAGGAAGAGGTATTTTTTCCTTTGGTTTGTTTTTAATACCTAGAATCATTCAGCTCTGACATGGTAATCTTCATTTAAATTGTCCTCAGCTTGTAAATTGGGTTTCTCATTCTAAAAGCAACAGGTGCTCATTGAAGGGATTTTAAAATGTTGAAACGTTATTACCGAATACTTTTTCCCAGTCAGTGGCTTCCCTTTTTACCCTATTGGAGAAGTTTTTGGATGTGCATAGGGATTTGAGTCTTAGAAGATCCCATTCATCTATGTTATCTTCTCCTGGTTGTAGGTTTTCCAGGATACTGGGAAGACTGTTTATGTTGTGGATTAAGACTTCTAGTGTTGTTCCTAGCTTTTCTGTAATGAAGTTTATAGTCCTTGGTTTTAGTCCTAGGTCCATGATCCACCTTGAGTTGGTTTTTGTGTATGGAGTGAGGTGTGGGTCTTGCTTGAGTCTTTTGCAGATATTTTTCCAATTTTGCCAACACCATTTGTTAAAAAGGCTGTCGTTTCCCCACTTCAGTGATTTCATCTCCTTGTCAAAAATCAGTTGACCATAGATAGATGGGTTGATCTCTGGATTCTCAATTCTATTCCATTGATCTATGTGTCTGTCATTGTACCAGTACCATGCTGTCTTGACCACTACGGCAGTGTAGTAGGATTTGAAATCAGGGAGTGAGATACCTCCTACCGTTCTTCTATTCTTAAGGAGTGCTTTGCTTATTCAGGGCTTTTTTCCATTCCATACAAAATTGGAGATTGCCTTTTCCATCTCGTTGAAGAATGGGATTGGTATTTGTATTGGGATTGCATTAAATGTGTAAATTGCTTTTGGTAGTATTGCCATTTTCACAACATTGAGTCTTCCTATCCATGAGCAAGGGATATTTTTCCACTTTTCAAGATCTCTTTTTGTTTCTTGTAGTAATGTTTTGTAATTTTCTTGGAAAAGGTCCTTTGTACTTCTGGTTAAATTTATTCCCAAGTATTTAATCTTGTGATTAGTTATTGTGAAAGGTATTGTTTCTCTTAGTTCTGGCTCTGTATTCTTTTTGTCGCTGTAGAGAAATCCAACTGATTTTTGTATGTTGATCTTGGAGGTCTTAGCAATAGCAATAAGACAAGAGAAGGGAATAAAAGGTATCCAAATAGGCAACGAGGAGGTAAAATTATCCCTCTATGCTGATGACATGATAGTATACTTAGAAAACCCGAAAGACTCAGCAAGAAAACTATTGGACGTAGTTGACCAGTTCAGCAAAGTTATACATGTTATATTTCTGAAATTTGTCCATTCCTGCCTGTTGGTGTATGATTTTATTGCTTTAATAGCAGCTGAGTTAAGAATGTTTTCACTAATATTTGTGGAGCCAGCTGACGGGGTTTGTGAGGAACCAGAGTCCACACACGCACACCCACAGCCCACTGCTGTCAGCGTGGCTCCGTGACCCTGTAGAACCCAACCACCGTGAGTCTCCCGGGCTGTGTGGCTGGAGGACTGGACCTACCCCTTCCTGCAGGCTTTCAGAGGCTGTAAATCACCCAGGAGGAGATTGCCCATCTTCAGCTCTCCCCCCCCACCCCCCATGAAGCAGCTGGTGGATTTGAATTGTGGACCTTCAGAATTGCAGCTCAGCTTCTTACAAGTGGTCCATCAGAGTTCCCTGCTAGGGCCCCACACTCCAGATGGGCTGTAAATGGTGGCTTCGGCCAGTGGAGAGGGTTGTGGTGTTTTTCAGCTGTAACAATGTTGTGTTTTTAAATTGCTTGAATCTTTTAGTGTGTGAATTTACTTTCGGATTTCTCTAGCATTTAAGACTCTCTGGTTTGTACATGTGGTAAGGAGCTGTGCACGTGGCCACCGGCTGCTCTGTGGGGGAAGAACCGTTGGACTTGTAACTTTGGAAAACCCACTGGAGGCTCCTCCATGAGTCTGTGTGACTTGATGGCACACCACAACAACTACCAGTATTTACGTTCCAGGAAGTGAGATTTGTTACTTGGCATCAATATGGTATAAGAATTAGATGTTGGTTAAGTGATTGGAAAAGCCAGTGTCACTCTAACCTGCTGCTCTGTGTTCTTGGGCTGGCCTGCCTGTGTTGGTCATTTAGGCAGGTTGCAGTCTGCAGTGGTTCTCCACACCCCTTTTGTTACCAGGCTCTTGAAGGACTCTCTGACGTCCTGTTAGCTTCCAGAATCCCTTCTGACTGGCCAGTTTCTTCTTGTTCACCATGGGACTTTTTTATGGGACATTTGGGGCATCAGACGCATAGGAATGAAATATGAACAGCAGTGTAAGTTAATAGCAGATGACTTTGTGACACATGTAATGAAATAGATGAGTTGGGAGTCTGCTAGCAGTGTCTTCTGTGACTAGTTTTGAAAATTCACCCCTGGAAACCCGACTCCTTTATCTTTCAGACAGGAGGGCCGTCCCAAGCCTGTGTCTGAAAGGGGACAACCACACACCCCATTTAGATGCCGATGTGGCTGAGGTTTGTACAGAAAGCTGAGTATTTGATATGTGGGATGCATCTTTCAAACCATTGAGCCAGAATCTGTCATCAGGCAAGGTGTGTCATTTAAGTCTTGGTTATCAATTAAGATGAGAATCCTCAACCCGCCAAGAGAAGTGATTTTCATAATTCAATAGGATGTAATTAGTTGGGCGGAATTGGATTTGAAAGCAGAATCAGCTGCTTCTGATTTTGATTATGCCCTCACCAAGAAAGATCTAGAAGGTTTGTTCCTATGCATCTTACTGGATGGCCCTGTGGAGATGGAGTTAAGTCAGATGGAATCTGAGATAGCTTCAGAAACATGAGTTATGAAAGATCAAATATGCTCCTGTGAAGCATGATGTTCATATCAGAGAGAGAGAGAGAGAGAGATTGTGTGTGTGTGTGTGTGTGTGTGTGTTAGAGAGAGATTGTGTGTGTGTGTGTGTGTGTGTGTGTGTGTATTGCCAGAATTTACTGGGGGAACCTGTAAGCTAATGCTAGGAGTTCTCCATTATATCTAATTAGGTTACACTAAGGGCTTTTCCCCCCCAGTTGGATTAGAACATAATCAGTATGTTTGAGATTGATTAACGGGCATCTCTCTTAAACGTACTGTCTGGTTCCCAAAAGTTGAATTATGAAAGATGGCCTTATTAAGTTAAATATGAGAAGTTTATCAAGTAGGAGATTTCTTAAAGTTCACTTTTTTTTAAATTAATCCTCTGTTCTGAAATATATTCTCTCTGATTGCTTTTAGGTTACCTAGGGTATGAAATAATACAGGCTTGGAAACTCTGAAAGAACTTAGAATCATCATTTTGAGGTAAATATAAGCAAATTAAAATAGTGTTAGTAGTCTGTACGTCCTTAATTTTTGTGATTTATGGGTAAAGTTAACCCCACATTTCAGTTTCTCTCACAGCATTAACTTTGTGAATTATGGTCCTGAACTCTTTTATTTTACTGAAATAAGCCCTGTGTAAAAGTTTACAGTGTGGATTTCACTGCTTGTGGAGTGTGTGTTTTTAATTCCACTTTGAGAAATTGAAGTCTCTGATAGTTTTCATACCTGTATTAAAGCCTTGCACTAGGTTTCTTGGCCCGAGTTTTTCTCCCAGTGACCTTCTTTTATTCATTGTATGTGTTAATAAATTTACAGGTGATTTTAGATAATAGTGCACACTTAATTCTTTCATTATTTTCATGTTTCTGTATATACATTCACTATGAGTTGCAGGCAACTCTCAGGCACATTCAACAGCCGCCGCCACCACCTATAAAGTGCTGCCTTTCAAATTGACTTACTTTGTTCTATTTCCTTGTTTGTTTTGAGTCCTGCCCTGGGCTTTTCTCTAGCTCTCTGCCTGCTTTTCTCTCTGGGAATTAGGCATGCTGTTGTCATGGCTCGTTCTGTTGCTCTTTGTTTGAGCACAGGACATGGTATCCTCAAACAACACCAATGTTTTTGTTTAAAAATGGAATGCGAAATAACAGTCTTTTATTCCCGGTCCCGTCAGTATGACTCCCTTGTAATGTGTTTGTGCTGAGCTGTGGGACTGGCATCTTAAACTTGGCTGTTTTCGTCTTTCCTTCCAGAGCAGCAGCCTGGGGATGCTGTGACTTTCCGATCAGGGGCCATCACAATGTCAAAATGCGGTTCAGACAGCAGCAACACAGACATCGCAGACATTAAAACGGTAAAGCTGTCTCTGGGAGGTAGAGAGAAGAGCGTTTGTGTGTCCTGCTCTGGTGGTTAAGTGAATAAAATGCAGAAACTCTGAAACAACCTCCCCAGTTTCAGCAGTGTAAATTGCTTGGGCAGAAATTGAAAGTCTGTACTTGCAAGCCAGTCACGGGGTGGCCCTGCTGGCCGTCAGCAGTGGTCACTGCATCTGTGCAGCTACAGGCCTGTGCTTGCCAGCAGGGAGTCACATCTTTTAATTAAAGCCAACTTAAAAACAAATAACTTTAAACATGCCAGGGAAAGTAAAATTTGGCAAAGTGATGGGTTTTGCATTATAGGCTTACCTGTTGACTTTTGCCTGTCTTGGATTGGTGTGTTTCTGAGGCCGGCTGCTCTCTTCTGAAGGGGTGGAGGGGCCTGCAGTGTGGGAGCTCTCATAGGCTTTCACTGGGAAGGGGGCACCTGCTGCCCCCCGGCCCCCTTTCCTGCAGATCTCTTTGCTGCAGCGTCCTCACCACTTCCCTGAAGGCCGTGGAAACTGGGGTCGGGGAGCCCTTTCAAGTCAAATAGAAATCTCTTTTGAGCCATCTGTAACCCTCCCTGTCCATATTGGATGGACATCCAGAAATCTCCAGCTCACGTCGTCATATTTTAAATGTGTATACGGTTATAATCATGAGGAAATTTAAAAAGTGAAAAGACTGAGATGAACTGAAGGCCAAACCCTGTGCCGTGGAGTCGAGTCCAGCTGGGACGACTCTCCGCTAGGTTCCCAAGGCTGTAAGTCTTTCCAGGAGGAATTGCCCATCTCTGTCCCGTGGAGCGGCTGCTGGTCAGCTGCCTGCCTTCAGTTAGTGTCCTGACACGTCATACCCCCCGTTACCAGGGCTTCCCCTCGTGACGTGTCAGTGTCAGTGAAAGAATAAGGTGAGTGTATGTAGCCTAAACCTTGTGAGGCAAGTGGGAACTGTCCAAAGGTTTTCATGCCACTCCAGCAAAATTGTTTGGCTCTACAGACCTGCATCGATGGTTTATCATGTCCTGGGTACAGTTAGACGTGGTGGAAGACACAGACATACCTGAATGCAGCCTCTGGATTCGAGGAGCTCCTGCACTCACTGGGTGCATCTTCGTATTGTCACTGGTGCACTCAGCTTCTAGCTGACCAGCCAGGGATTCAAGTCCACCCAGAGAAGCCTCAGAAGAAAGGTCTGATCATCTGTTTCTGAAAAATCAGCCTGTTGGACAGCTCTGTTGTAGACGCATGAGGCTTCCATGTGTCAGAATTAACCTAATGGCAGCAGATTGAAAGATTAGAAAGAAATTATTTAAGGAGGGATTCTTTTTGACTTACAGAGGTACATTTTGTTTTATGGTTGTTAGGACTGTATACCCAATGGCACATTCTTCAGATCCCCCAGCATCTCCACAGGGGAAAGAGGGCCATTGTCCTCCTGTGTGATTTAAAGCCTCTGAAAACCCACTGGAGGGGCAGCTTTGGGTCACTTCCAACTCGACGGCACACAACCCAAATAAAAATCCTGGGATTCAAGTCCAAAATGAAAGTGTTTGAAGTGGTCAGGAAGGGATGCGGATGATGGCCAGGGTCACTTAGTGGACAGAGAAGGCTGCGTGTGTGAGGCCAGTGAAGAGAGTGTTTTAAGTGGAGTGGACTCTCCTAGTGGAGAGTGGAGGCAAGCTGGACAGGCGACAGTGTACAGTGGGCACATGTCACCGACAGGCGTGATGTGATTCAATTCACAATCAATCAGAAGTCCTTCTGAAGGTTGGTTTTCTTCTCAGTCTCCTGTAAGGACCAGTAGGGTCCGTGTGGCAGAAAGAATGGGTGGTGGGCTGCTGCCGCCCCGCTGGAGAAAGTTGCGGCCATCTGCTTCCTCCGCGGCTCTGTGGGCCGGCCCTGCGCTGTCTGGTCAGGTCAGGTCACTGAGTTGGAATCGCCTGCCTCCATGGCAGTTCTTTTGTTTTGTGAAACCAATATCCTCCTTGCCTTTTTTGATAGTTATACAACCATCTGCCTGGAGAGTGAGTTGGTCCCGTCCCCCACAGATGGCTGGTTGTCACCTGGGGGTGAAATGGCAGTGTCCTGGAGGTGACACTGGCCTGGGGAGCTGCCTGGGGAGCTGTGGGAACTGGAGTGGCCCTGAGTTCTGGACCAGGGCCTGGCTTGCCTGTTTTCAGCTTAGCTCTTCCTGCCTTGCCTCTCAAACAGCACCCCTTCCTTCCTGATTCATTGTCTAGGTGTTTTCCAGTCTGATTGTCTGAGAAATGAGCATTTTAACCTTGGCAGTTCTAAAGGAATTCACTAGTTGTAAAGGGGATACAACATTGAAATAATCCTCAGAACAAATGAGGGAAGAGTTTTGAGTTTCTATGTCCAGTGCTGCAGCATCTGGACCGGACTTCTGAGCCCTGGGCTTTCTCCTCCACATGCGCTTGGCCGGACCGCCCCTCTTCCTAGTCCCCTGCCCAGAAGGGAAGTGGTAGCAGTGATTAAGAGGGTAGTTTAAATTATAAAGGTCAGTGTTAGGTCTTACACAGGACATAAGGCCAAGGACTCAAGGAAGAGACCAGAGAAAAAGAGAAAGCTAAAGAAGCTTTATTAAGGTGGCTCTGGGATGGGAGTCCTTGATCTGGAGAGAGACAGACCAGGGGAAAACCATGCCCTAAGGTGGGTTGGGCAGGTTTTACACAGTAGGATCTTTAGGGGAGGGAAGGGAGGGACACTCTCTTGTGGTTCAGGTGGGTGGTTCAGGAGGCTTTTCACTCCCTTTGCTGACTTGTTGATATTCTTTGAATCCTTCCTTTTCCCTTTGACCTTGGTCTGGGCCTGAAAACCAGGCTCACTCACTCACGTAGAGACTGGCACGGAACCCTGAGACAGGAAGTCTCAGACACCCGTGAAACCTGGAATGGGATCCACTCCCAGCCTAACAACAGACAAGTCTATAAAGTGAATAATGGCAGTACTCGGCCATATTACAGGGCCACAATTTACCCCAAAATGAAGCTTGAATGGATTAACAGGCAGAATAGGACGAATGGAAACCGGGAGCTCATGAAGGAAGTGGGAAGAGTGCTGTGACCCTGACAGGGTCGTAACTAATGTCATGGAACGGTGTGTACTAGTTGTTTAACTGAGTACAGTTCAGTTGCTGAACTTTCACCCAAATCGCACAGGACCTCCAATTTTCTTTTTAGAACAGCTTATCTTTGCTTGTGCTTGCATAGAAAATTGAGTTTAAGCCTAGACAGATAGCAAGGTGAGAGTGAGTGCATGTCATCGCCCCTTGTCCCCCAACCCCATGGGTTGGGCTTGGAAGTTGGGGTTCAGCAGCTTCCACCTGTCTCCACTGAAGCCCTGACTGTGGACAGGCAGGAGCCATTTCCCAAGGCAAAGGGTATCGTGAGCGGCTGCCTTCTGCAGGTGATGGCAGATAAAAGACGATAAAATCTAGGTCCCATTTTTGTAAAACAATGAAATAATTTTTCTTTTACTTTTCCAAGAGGGTACCATGTACCAGGGGGGAGGGTTAGGAGGGGAGAAAAGTGCAACAATGAATGAATGGAAATCCAAAGTCTCTGTAAATTTTCATTGAAATTAACAATAAATAAAAAAAAAATTAAAAAACAACAACAACAAAACTAGGTCCCAGGTGACTTCACTGAGGTGCTGTTTGGTTCAGCCAACAAGGGGCCGCTCCTGGGTTAGGGGGCAGCCGGATGACACAGCTGCTGCCCAGCGGGGGACGTGGCGGGCGGCTGGTTGAGAGAGACCACCGTAAAGTGTTGTAATTGTGCTAGTGAAGTATTTTTAAAGAATACTGTTCCCCCTTAAGAAAATCTGGAATTGTTACTTGTGAATATTATCTCCGGGAACAATTGGTGGCAGTGGAGGTGAGGAGCCTCTGACTCTGGCAGCCTCAGTGCTGAGGAGTGTGCTACTGACCCAGAGGCACATGGTTCGAATCCACGAACAGCTTCTCTGGAGAAACACGGACAGTCTATTCCCATGTAATTTACAGCCTCTGAAAACCTGCTGGAGGGTCAGCTCTGAGTTGGTTCTCACTTGATGACAATGAATTTGAGTCTCATACTGGTTGTTAGAGGTGAAGAAAATGTGGAGGCTTGGTGGTCCTCTGCCATGTTCTCGTCACTGGATGTCCTCTGATTCCTGATACCTCACACAGTGCCTGTTTTAGGTCTGGGGTGGCGTTTGTGCTGGGTGAAAAGTGAGGAGTCTATTGAAGGTAAAAAATCCTATACAGATTGTGGGCCACTCTCCACTGCAGGTGGTGGGCAGGTCATGGCACCGTGTGTGGCTTGTGGTGTCTCAGGAAATGAAGGAAAGTGAACTTGCACTTCAGATCCCTGCCACTTGGACAGAGAATGAGCCCTGGGGACAGACTTGAAGGAGAGCACGGAGCACATGGCGGCGGCAGAGTGCCTGCTGAGGCTCCAGGTCCACAGAAGAGGGAGCCCATTGTCCGTCAGGGAGATCACGTCCTGCTCAGCCCGGAGCGGGTGCTTGGCAGTCTCCCAGAACATCCTCGTGCCCATGGCTTCCTGCTTTCTCTGGACGCTGAGCATGACCGCTCTGGTCCTCAGACGTGCTGGGCTTGTGCGACCCTCGGCCCTGGGCCTCACTGGGCAGCACACTGCTGGCTGCTGAATGAGTCTCTGCAATCAGAATGCAGACTGGGCCCACATAAGGTGCTCCACACCTCCAGCTTCTGTTCATTGGTGTGTCAGCTGATGTCACCACGCTGTTCTGTGGCTAAGTCAGGAGAGTAGAGAGTCTGGTTACCAAGGACCAAGGAACGGTGACCACTCCACAGCAGTACAAGCCCATCCTGCTGCTATTGTGTTGATTCCAGCGCCTAGGGGCCGTAGAAGAGGGAGGCGAACTGCCCCTGGGGCTCCTGGGTCCGTAATGGTCATGGAGGCACAGTGTCTCACCTTTCCTCCATGGAGCCACCAGTGGCCTTGAACTGCTGACCTTTTGGTTACCAGTAGAGTTGTCTTCACCGTGCCATCAGAATTTGTTAAAATTCCATTCTGCTGATAGTTACAAAAGCTCGTGATGGAGCTGCCACTGATTTGAGGGTAGTCTTTAGAAGTCACCACCATAGCGGACGACAAGACCAGAAACAGGATGAACTGCTGGACTGCCCCTTTTCCTCTTTTGATAGCCGCTTCCCCAACCAGAACCAACAGACGCTGGCAGAGTGCTCTAGACTTCAACCACCGCAAGAAGGCGGTGAGTGCCAAGGTGGTGACGTCTCCATGTGTGAGTGGTACCAGCACGTGTACAAGTCCTTCTGCCCCGTGTCCTGGCTGCCAGCCTGGGATGACTGCAGGGCAGAAGGCACATTCCTGGGGAGGATCTAAACTGGCCCACCTCACCTCGCTGTTGGAATCTGGACTTGTGACATAACTAATAATAAAAACTTAACAGAAAAAAAAAAAAAAAGCTAGTGATGGGCTTTCAGATTGAGATGTGAAATTCTAAGCCCCAGTTTGCAGGTTATGACTTTTAAAAAAGACTCCAGTTTCATTTTGTTTCAGAGTCAGATTTAAAAATGGGAAAGAGTATCTGAAATAACAAGTGCCCAGGTACCATGGAAGCCTTGTCTTTTCCCAGCACAGTGCGCTTCGGCTGATTTCTCTAGAATGTGTATAATACTAGAGAGAGACGCGTAAGTAGTTGGCCAATACCGACTTGGGATAGGTTGTCAGTTAAGCAAAAGACTTGCTGTGTTGACAGTCTGGGATACAGTTTGAGTCTTTCCTGTGGGGCAGGCACAGTGCCTTCATATGTGACTCATTTTATCAGTCACCATCAGATTTACAAATAATATTTGAAACTCACAAAATTGTGTGGTTTTTTAAAAAAAATTTTTTTAAAAATGGGCGAGCTCTGGTGGCATAGTGGCAAGAAGCTGCACTGCATTCCCATAGGTGTGGGGTTCAAATACACCAGATGCTCTGCTGAAGAAGGAGGAACAGTCGCCTCCTGTACCAGTCAGATCCGATTTGATGGTACACACATTTAAAAAAAAATAGATTTTTTAAAAATGTTACTATTTTGTGTGTGTACCATCAAACCAGATCTGACAGGTACAGGAGGAGATTTCCCCTTCCTTCTCCAGCCATCTGGTGAATTTGAACCGCATACCTCTGAGATTGCAGTGCAGCTTCTTGCCAGTAGGCCACCAGCGCTCCTTAAAATTGTGTGTTTTATAGAAATGAATTAGCCACTGCTATTGTGTTGATCCAACTCAGTGATTCTGTAGGACAGAGACCTGTCCCATAGTTTCTGAAGCTAGAAATCTCTCTGGAACCTGATGGCTTTGTTTTTCTCCCTCAAGAGCAACTGGTGGGTTTGAACCGCCAACCTTGAAGTCAGCAGCCCAGTGTTTTGATCACCATCAGAGCTCCTCAGACAGAACTACAAAGGGAATATTTAAAAAGATGTTGTACCATACCTATTTTTTTAAAAAAAGGTTGCTTGTGACTGCTGTCGTGTGTCAGTAAATAAGCTTTATCATTTTAATGGATTAAAAGTATCCCATCATGTAGCAGTATTCTGCTTTATGTAACTCATTTTGTAGATTTTAGAGTTCCTGTCTTTAAGGACTAACACAAGCAGGTATTGGAGTTCTTAGGCCTCTGTGCGGGGTCTGATTCTTCTTTTTAACTGATGTTTTAGGTGTAGGGTTGCTGAGCTGGATGGTAGAGAATGCTTGACTTTTGAAATGATCCCATTAGATGGCGAAAAAGCTCTGGCAGTCAAAGAGGGCATTTGAAAAGGCTCTCTGGAGCAAGATTCAGCTGTTTCTCCCATCTCTGTGCGCTCTCTTGTTTGGAACCCTGCATGGTTGTGTAATGGTATTCTTTTTCCCTTTTGTAGTAAGCTGTGCTAGAACAAAAATGCAATGAAAGAAACACTGGATGAATGAGAAACCCTGCTTTGCAACCCCTCAGCATGGCAGGCCTGCAGCTCATGACCCCTGCTTCCTCACCAATGGGTCCTTTCTTTGGACTGCCATGGCAACAAGAAGCAATTCATGATAACATTTATACGCCAAGAAAATATCAGGTACTAATGAGAACACTAATATGGGAGTGGGTTTTTTCCTCTCTTTTTTTTTTTTTTAACTAAAGTAGAGTAATTAGCATATAGTTGACACATATAATATAAAACTCATTTACTTTTCAAGCCTCCCTCTTCAATTAATTTTCTCTTACAAAACACTTTTGTTCTTAATAGCCCTTTTCCTTTCTAACCTCTGCTGGGTAATTTATTTGATTGTATTCTTTGTGAAGGGTCTAATTTCCACCCCCCTCTATGAAAGCTTCATTGTTTCTGAATATCCATTTGGGTGTATCTGTCTGGTGGGGCTGGGTAGGAGCAGAGGCTGGTTTGAAATTACTCGGCTAACTCATACAACCATGGCTACTCTGGGTTCAGTTGTATTTTCTCAAGAATCAGCCCATCTCTGCAAAGTAGAATTCTTTAATGAAGATGAGAAACTAGGAATGTCATGCCAACATAAATTTTAATACCCCTGATTATTTTTATAATAAAGATGTAGATAGTATGGGATTGATTTCCTTTTGTCAATGTATTGAAGCATGGTTTTAGAAAATAGGGGAGTTTTCAGATGTGGAGCAAAGCCCAGTGTTCTCAGCTTCATGCTTGAAAAGACATGTGTGCTCTCCTCTCCCTGGTTGGCAGGTTGAACTGCTTGAAGCAGCGCTGGATCACAATACCATCGTCTGTTTAAACACTGGCTCAGGGAAGACGTTCATTGCAGTACTACTCACGAAAGAGCTGTCCTATCAGATCAGGGGAGACTTCCACAGAAATGGCAAGAGGACGGTGTTCTTGGTCAACTCTGGTAATGAGCGATGGTTTACTGTGGAGGAGGTCGGGTGAGATATGTTTAAGCAGATCTTCAGGGCTTTAGATTACGTTCTTGAAACTAATGATGTGCGTGTCAGAGCTCTGTGAGAAGAATCACTTGGTCTTTTTTAAACTCCATACGGTTTCTGGGATTAGCTGTTTTATTTCTCAGCTACTATGATGAAGCTTTGTCTAATGTACTTTGGACATGTTACTCAGAAAGGCTATTCCTTAGAGCTAGGAAAGGTGATCACCAAAGGAGAGGAAGACCCGCCAGGGGATGCATTGACACAGTGACCGAGCAGTGGGCTCGAGTGTGTCAGAGATGATGATGGCACCGGATAGGACAGGCCTCAGATTGGTTGTTCATGGGGTTGCTATGATTTGTACTTGATGGCGGCTAGCAACAACTATAGTTCAGTTATGGAGGAACCCTGATGACGTTGTGGCCTATGCTATAAGGCCACAAGTTTGTTTTATGAAAACTTTAGACTTCAGTTTTTCCCTTAAATGTAATTACATTTAATTGTGATTCTGCATTTCTTGTGAGCGGATTGCTTGTCCCAAACACTTAGTCTCATTTTTGTTGTTGATGCTCCAGCTTTGCTAGAAGGTCCATGATTACGAGCTTAGTAATTTTTTTATATATGATTTTGCTTGACAAGTTGTAGAAAGAGAGTAATAACGCTGCTTAAAAGTTAGACATTGTAAGAGTGAGAAGTACGGATTTTTCTGTGTTTGGGTTTTACGCCCCGACAAGAGCTATAACGAGTGACCCTGAGATGACAGGTGCTAATGGAACTGTCACCTCCTTTTTTTATACGATTTCAGCCCAACACTGAGACGGTCTTGTGTGTTTGTACACATATTGTCTATGATTTTATTTCTTGGTGAAATACTTAGATTTTTTGAAATGAGAACAGCAGGGGTGGTTCTGGAGTGACTGCCGTTCCTGCCTGGAAGCTTAGCTCTTCGAGTGGGATGTGTGGCTGTAAAGAAGGAACACTATTTGCTCTCAGGTTCTCTGAGATGAATGACTGGAGGCAGGGCGGTGGATAACTTTGACTCTCTCAGGTTTTTAATTGGCAGTTTAAGAAATTGGTTGTCAGGCCTGTATCATACATTATGAGGATTGACTTGATGGTGTTGAGAGAGCGACCCGGCTCTGAGTTTCAGTATTTACATGCAGTGTCGTATTTGTCACCAGCAAACCAGGTTGCTCAACAAGTGTCAGCTGTCAGAACTCACTCCGATCTCAAAGTTGGGGAGTACTCAAACCCAGAAGTTAATGCCTCGTGGACGAAGGAGAGATGGAACCAAGAGTTTGCCAAGCACCAGGTAAGAAGTTTTCACATTATAAAGCCCTCTAAGGCCTGCATGTGGCTTACAGACTGACCCGTAGCCTTGTTGTGTGAGGTAGGGTTTAAACTTGACTTTCTTGTCCTTTATCAGCCAAGAAACTAACCTGTGGCCTCACTCTCACATCAATTCTCTTCCTAACACGGAATGGGTCATTCATTCTTTATGCCTGTACTTTGTAGACAAGAAACAGATTTGTGATGTTTACATGCTTGGGAAGCACATATCTCTGCCCCCTCTTTCTAATTGATGGATAACTTGCTTTCACAACACGTGTTCTTGAATTAGATGCCTCGACGCTTGACAGTTGTCTTGGTTGAGTCTGTCGAGGTCAATGGCGACTTCCCCCAGCGTTCCTCTCTGTAGCCAGCAACGTGGAGGGCCAGCTCTGTGCCTGCACTTTGGTTGGTTGGAGTTGGGAACACACAGTGGTCTATAGATGCTTCCCGACCACCAGCCTGTCAGTGTGGCTCATGTGCAGGGCTCAGTCCTCAGTAACAAAGCACCAGAGTCCACAGAATGGCAGACAATAAAGTATTTGTATGCTGTGCTCTGGAAACCTGCTCAATCCAGTGAAGACGGGAGACAGCGGTGCGAGCTATGTTGTGATCTGTCTAGATTGACGGATCTCATCAATCAAAACATGTCTCTAAGTCATCTTCTGCATAGTAGAGAATTTCATCTGGTAGAGCCTGTTCCCGGGTTCTTGGTTCCTTCTTAGTTCAGTGGACGAGTACCTGCATACTTAGAACTTCTGGTTTTGTTGTGACTAACAAATTTCTTATTCCTGAGCTGCAAAACAGCGGCTGCATGATTTGATTTCCTGTGTGGCTACTGACATGGGAGAATGGCACACACTCACCTCCTGTTGTTGGTTTTATTTTAGGTTCTGGTTATGACTTGCGATGTCGCCTTGAATGTTTTGAAAAATGGTTACTTGTCACTGTCAGATATTAACCTTTTGGTGTTTGATGAGTGCCATCTTGCGATCCTTGACCACCCCTACAGAGAAATTATGAAGGTGAGTTACATGTTACCAGTCTTGGTAATTCAGGTCGGAGTACTGGCTACAAGTATTTCAGCTTTCTAATAGCAGTGACAGGCATCAGCTTCATGAACTTGCTTCAGGGTGTGAGGGAATGAATATTAAGTTAATTCTGCTACTGAAAGGCCAAGCTCCTTGGGCATTTCTAAGGCGTCAGAGGCTCTGAGGGACAAAGATGGGCAGCTTCCCCCCGAGTGACTGACAGTCTCAGAAACCCAGTGCAAGGTGCGTCATCTGTGAGTCAGTTTGACCCGATGACAGGGAGTTAAAAGTACAGTGAGTTTTTGAACAAGTCCACAGGAACCTGTCATGTCACGTTGATACCCTTTTTGATACTCAGAAGCACGCTCCAGTAAGTTCCCGAGTGGCGATGCCCAGCACTGCTTGCAGCCAACGGGTTGTGGTGGTATTTGTGCAGCGGTTTTAAAGCAGTGTGTGCTTGCTGCCCGGCTCTCGGGAGCGTGCTCCTTCCTTACCATCGTGCCTTGTCTTGTGTAGCTCTGTGAGAGTTGTCGGTCATGCCCTCGCATCTTGGGACTAACGGCTTCCATTCTAAATGGGAAATGTGATCCAGAGGAGTTGGAAGAGAAGATCCAGAAACTGGAGAAGATTCTTAAGAGCAACGCTGAAACGGCCACCGACTTGGTGGTGTTGGACAGGTATGCACTGTGAGGGCCACGCTCGTGCCGAGACACCCATTGCTATGTCATCAGCCTGCAGCGTCTCTCGTAGTGGCCTGCAGATGGCACCTTTGTCAGTGGGCACACGTTTATGAACACTAACGGTTCTTCAGGAGGACAGTTAGCCTGTGAACAGCTGACCGTCTTCTTCCCTGCGGTCGCAGAACAGTGCTTCTGTGTCTGGAGATGGTGGGGACAGCAAAGCCTTCTTCTCTGGACGCCCCAGGGACCAGGCCTGTGATGGCAGATTCCTGGTCTTGTCGGTGTCTGCTTTACTGTTCTGACTGACGAGTCCTGAGGCTTTTGGAGAATATTGATTTTTTTTTCCCCCCATGTAATCCTGGATTTACAGTGTACTTACTGTGAAAGAACCGGGGACGTCCTCACTGTGTCAACAAGAGGACGTGGATTGCCGATGCTGTTGACAGCTGTTGTCTTTTTTAAGAGCAGTGCTATTTTGAAGCTCATTAAAACATACACAAAACCTTATAGATTTGGTTAAGTTGGTAGAAGAGAGCCTCTATAAATTAACAGGGAAATGGTTTTTAAACAAAACTAACCACATTGAACTTATATGCAGGGATCCTCATAATGTTTTCAGGTGCTGAGTCTTCAGACTAATGATTTCCCGGCGGGGAGTCTAGGATGCCTCAGGAGTCCCCAGGGGTGTAGAGCCGGGTTGGACGTGGGATTGAGTGCTGGCTTCCATGTGACTGGGTGGCTTTGGGCTGGTTCCGCTGACGGTGACCTGTGTGCAACAGGCGAAGTGCGGCTCCATCCTGAAGCCTCGCAGTCTCTGCTGGGCTTACATCACTTATGCCACTATATCACTTGAGGCTTTTTCTATTTGGTTTTATTTCCCCCCCCATGGACTCTCTGCTCCACTGAGGGGAGCCCTGGTGGCTTAGTGGTAAGGAGTTGCACTGCTGACCCAAAGGCGCCTGGTTCAAATCTACAAGTTGCTCACTGGGGAAAAGAGTTGAACAGTCTCCTCGTCTGATTTACTGCAGGGTCAGCCGTGAGAGTCGCCTCCAACTTGATGGTACATGACAACAGTGGCTCCGCTGAGCACACTCCCTTTTTCCAGGGACTGACCCCTCTTGTTGGGGTGCCCAGAGTACTTGGGAAGAGGTCTCGTCATCCTTGCTTCCAAGGAGAGTTCTAGCTTCACACAGACTTGGTCTCCTGGTAGACCCTTGTATGTTCAGCATTCTTTGTCAGCTCCATAGTGCAGAAGCCCTGAACTCTCAGGCCGCCTTCATCATCATCCAGCTTTTCTGGGCATAAGAGGCTGCTGGTAATTCCCTGGTTTGGGCCTCAACATGACATCTTTACTTTTGAAGAGGTCTTTTTTTTTTAATTTTTATTTTTTTGAAGAGGTCTTTTGTGGATTTGTTCACCGCAGTACTGTCTCTGCCAGGTGTGAAGTGTGTGACAACAGTGTGTCACTTGGCTGCCCTTAGGCCGTAGGGTGGCACTTCCTGCTTTCCTGTGATTCCTCAGTGACTATACGTTGGCACTTGGCACCCTGCCTGATGTTTAGTGGGACTGGGGCCAGAGCTCTCCTGTAGAGCGAGGAGGAAAGTAACGTGTTGGCATCATTGGCTCATATCCACATCCCTGTGGGGTACAGAGCTTGTGACCTTCAGAACATCCCTTTCCTGGCTTCGTCTAGTCTCCTGTGGACGTGCAGGGCTGTGCTTTCTTGGGCATCTGACCTCAACGTGCGCAGCCTGCCAGCGTGACGATCCGGAGAAGCAGCATGGAGACGGTTAAGTGCCCCCAGCACTGAGCCAAGCGTCAGACTTGACTTCTCCCTCCTCCTCACACGTGATGCTTGGAGCTCGCTTGCTCCTGTGGAATGTTCTTTGATGAGGCTTCTGCTCACAGAACTCTTGCACGTTCCAGAGACTGAGCTGGAACTCAGTGTTGGCTGCCAAATAACCTTCATAGTGAAGGATCTCAGAGGCCGGGGCTCATATGGTTTCAGAGCGATTGAGGGGCATGTGCAAGTGACAGGGACAGAGATACAGAAGTGCTTCGTCTAAGGCTCAGATTGCTCACAGCCAGGACAGACCGGCCTGGACACCCACTTAGGAGGTCCTTGCTGGCCCCTGACCTCCAGCTCCCGACGTGCTGCACGTTAATGATTGTAGGGCCCAGGAGGACCTGCAGAGGGCGTCCTTCCCCCTGACTCCTCCCTCTTAGCAAAGTCTGTATTTGAGAATAAGATGCCAAATGCAAAAATGGATACTTCCCATGGTCTCGCTACGTAGGGATAAACAATATTAGCATTTTTAACTTCTTAACAATTAGGTGTGTATATTTATAACTTAACACCTACATGTAAGGGTCTGTAGAATTCTAGCTGTGCTGTAAAGACTGTTTTCCATTTCGTTTCTTCACTGAACGTTCTGATCATTTTCCACAGGTGAAGAATATTTCCAATTTGTTGTATAAATGTACCGTAATTTAAGTAACTATTGTCATTGCTCTTGTTATTAAACATAAGAATTTTCAGATTTTGGCTACTAAGTGAATATTCTTATGCATATAGTTAGGTTACTATTTGTGGTGCTAATTCAGATAGTTGTCTAAAGAATCAAGGGGACAAGGATGTGAATTTTAAGGCTCTTTGTACCAACCTGGAGGCCAGACGTGTTGTCCCTGAGCAGGTCCTGACCCGTCCTAGCCCTGTGTGTTGGAGGTGAAACAGCACCTGGGGGAATTTCCAAGGCTCTGGCCTTTCCTGTCTGGACTGCTGGGCTTTTCTTTTAACATGTCTCTGGGTGGGCTCAACCTGTCAATCTGTTGGTTAGTGGTTGAACGTTTAGTTGTTGACACCACCCAGATACTCACGTTGTCAATCAGAAGTCAACCCCACTGCTGTTGATTCTGTTCTGGCTCATGGCGACCCTCCATTTATCTGCGATGCTAAGTCTTTGCGGGAGGGGGTAGCCTAGACTGAGGCTAGTGAGAAGGTCAGACTGGCCGGTCCCCACAAGAGCTTCCCATGCACTTTATTTGCACCACCCATCTCACATGGGGGCCATCTACCTTATTTCTGTGGTGGGTCACCAACACCCCACCATGGCCTAGTCCTCCCCAGTCACTCCGGGGCACTCTGGTGGTGTTGTCCACGACTGTGGTCCTACTGCCACAGGCTGTGTCTGCTGGTCAAAAGCCCCTGGTGGCTCCTCTTCCCACTGTGAACTACTGCCTTGCAAACCCAGCGGAGAGCCTGCGATTCAGAACTGGCTACAGCAGTGATTTCAGTTTTCTAATGACCGTGACTAGACAGGTCTGATGAAGTAATTCACTGCACTCACGTTTTCAACATCATTCATTCAGTAATCTACAGAAACAGGTCTGTCCTGGAGAGGGTGAAGCCAGACTGCTCCTTGGAGGCAAAGATTTTGAAGTTCCATACTTTGGGCATGTTGCCAGGAGGGACCAGTCCTTGAACTGGGGTAACGGGGATAGATGTGCCAGAGATAGTGAAATAAGCTCAGGATGGAGCCTCTGTTGTACACAGGGTCACTATGAGTCGCAAGCCACTCAGTGACACATAACAACAAAAACAATGGAAACATAATAGTAATGAACACAAAAGTGGTAATTAGAATGCAAAAGTTGGAAACAAAGAAGGATTGATGGTTAGAAAATGTGATTTTGGTGACAGAAAGAAGGCTGGGGATCAGTAATAGAATTTTGTACATTAAATGATTTATTAATTACAAACACTTTTTTTAAAAAATGTGAACAACGAACTACACGCATGGAGCTTCCCTGCTTTTGTACACAGGAATCAAACTGATTCTATCTGTGGAGACAGCGGAGAAGCGGAATACCAGCAGTCAAAACAAGGCCAGGAGCCAACTGTACGTCAGTTACTAAAATGTAGAATCAAAGAATCAAACTGAAGCTGGAAAGAAGAGAACAAGTCCACGAGAGCCAAAATAATGGACTTCCATTTGCCTCGCCTGAGTTTAAAATCCACTTAAGAATCATTTCTTGCATTGCTCACTAATTACTGAAGAGAAGATGAGTTGTAGGATGGCATCAGTGAGCAAAGTTAAAAAGCCAGGAAAAAAAAGGAAATGAGTATCAGAAGAGACTCTGAAGCTTGCTCTTGAATGCAGGCAAGCTGAAGCACAAGGAAGAAATGAGGAGAGGAGAGAGCCAAACAGAAGTAAAGCAAAGTATTAAATAAAGCAAAGTATTACAGCAGAATGTGCAGAGAGTTGTGGTTAGATGACCAAAAGAAAAAAAAAAAAAACAAAACCCTAGCATTTTTTTAGATAATTTTTATTTATTTATTTATTTATTCTTTTTTTTATGTGTGTACCGTCAAATTGGATCTGACTGGTATAGGAGGCAATTGTTCCTCCTTCTTCAGCAGAGCATCTGGTGGATTTGAACTGCGCACCTCTGGGATTGCAGTGCAGTTTCCTACCACTAGGCCACCAGAGCTCGCCAACCCTAGCATTTTTAAAGTGGAAAGAACTGAAGAACGTAATAAAGCCTCCAGTTGCAGTATGGAGGACAGCATGGAGTGTGGCGGGAGCATCCACAGAAGTGACATGGATACACGATTCACTATGGCAAAAAGAATTCGTGGGCACAGAGCCGTTGCAGCAAGTAGCAAATGATACAGTCCAAGCCTGCCCTGAAGACATTGGCAAAAATTCAGTCCCGAGGACTTGGTGGAATGCCACCTGAGGTGTTTGTGCAGATAGATGCGGCCTCGGCCCACTCAGTAGTCTACGCCAAGAACCTTGGGAGACAGCTGCATGGCCAACGGCTAGAAGAGTCCCGTATTCATTCCCCTTCCAAACGAGGTGACCCAGCTGAGTGCAGAAGTTCCCCAACAGTATCAGAAAGATGCTTGTGTTGTATTGACTCTTAAGCCATTTGACTGTGTGGATCATAATAAATTATGGATAATATTGAGAAGATGAGAATTCTAGAACACGTAATTGTACTCCTACAACTCCTTTACCTAGACCGACATGGCAGTTGTCTGAACAGGACAAGAAAGCACTGCACGATTTAAAATCAGGAAAGAAGATATGCATCAGGCTTATATCCCTTCTATACTTGGTCAGCCTTTATTCTGAACCATTCGTTTGGGAAGGTGGACTGTATGAAGAGGAAAGGTGGTTTCAGGATCGGAAGACAACTCTTTAACAACCTGTATTATGCAGGTGACACAGTTTTGCTTGCAGAAGAGGAAGATGACTTGAACTCATTAAAGATCAAACAGTAGCCGTCTATCTGGATTATACCTCGTAAAAAGAGCAAGAGGGCACGAGGATGGCCATCTCCAACCTCTGCTGACTCAGCAAGGGGGAACTGCCCCACCAGCCCCATCCACAGCACAACACCAATTCCCATGAGGTCAGACATGTGGCCAACCTGTTTCTTTTTTTTAAATTGTTTTCCTGTAATTTAAAATTTTTTTAAAAATTGTTTTACTGTAATTGTAATGGAAGTTTACCAAATGGTTGGGTGTTTATACACTCATTATAACATATTTTCTTCCCTCCCTCTCCTTTCTCTCTTCCCCAGGCCACCTTGTAATGCACCTCTGGCCCATCTATTTCTCTTGATTCCAGCACCATTTCTATTGCCCTACTGGGTCTCAAATTCGTTTCAGTACCTGTACAGACTGCAGAGAACCATTCTCAGGACTACAGGGTTTTTAAAGGGAAGTTAACAAGTTACAATTCAGATTGGCAACAGGATACAGTTTCTTGTCAGGAGAGTTGGTGGATTGTGGCCACAGACCTCTCAGCCTCAGCCTCTGGCCTGTAGGCCAGTGCTCTAAACTCACTTAGTCCTGCCCAGTAGGAGGTCTATTCCCAAGTTCCCCAGCAAGGTTGAGCAAAGGCTTCAGGTTCTGAAGGGCAGTGGTCCCACATCAGCTCTGTCTCAGCAGATCTCTGCTGCTCCTTCGTGGCCGCTGCTGCTCTCCTGCAGGTCTGGCTGGTGCAAGAATCTCTGGCCCTGAAGGGCATGCACTACCTTCTCTGCTGGTGGTGAGATTCTCGAATTGTGCTGCTGAATCTCCTCAATTTAGTGTGAGGACAAGACCGTCCCCTTGTGAGTAGACCAACTCACCCCATTCACATGGCCCCGCGTCCCCTTGTGAGTAGACTAACTCACCCCGTTCACATGGCCCCGCGTCCCCTTGTGAGTAGACTAACTCACCCCGTTCACATGGCCCCGCGCCCACTTGTGAGGAGACTTAACTCGCCCTGTTCACGTGGCCACGCCCGTCCACGTGGCAGGGCCAAATGCAGTGACTAGGAAAGTCATTTTGATCAGTAAATCCTTGACACCACATACCTCAATATGTAGCTTAATAATAATAGATGGTGAAAACGTCAAAATTGACAATTTAATTTTGTTTGGATCCACCATCAAATGCCTTGGTAACAACAGTCAAGAAATCAAAAGATAAGTTGCCCTGAGTAGATCTTCTCTCAGGGACCACTTTAAAATGCTAAAGAGCTTGGATATCAGTTTCAAGACTAAGGTGCACCTGACCAAACCGCCACCCCAGCTGCTCCTGCTACCTACACCGTTGGTGGTGTTGATGCACAGGCTGCCAGCTCTCCAGAGGCCTAACAGTCCAGATTGGTTATGTCCCCGGGGCTGTGGTGTGGCTTCCATTCACTTCCGGGACTGTTCCATGCAAACAAGGGCCAGCGTGGTCAAACCTGCAGAGGAAAGAGCTCCTGAATTTGGACATGGACTAGAATGTTTCCTGAACTTCCCATGGGAGGATTTGATGAGGGTTTGTCGCGTTGCTGGGAGGGGGCCAGTTTTTACTCCTCTCTTCTTATCTTTCCTGTGAATAATTCCTGTGGATTTACAAAGAATTCCTAGTGGTGCAACTGTTGTTAGGTGCCATTGAGTGTAGTACATCCCATAGCAACCCTACAAGTAGCAGATCTGAGCCCTGTCCCCTCCTGCACCATGTTCACAGCCTCTGACACACGGGAGGCGCTTGCTGAAGTCACTGTGTCCACCCACATGGTTGAGTCTTCCTCTCTCTCACCGTGGGGCTGTAGGTTAAGTGTTGGACTGCTGACAAAGAGGGAAAAGATTAGTGGCCCAGAAACACCAGCTGGTCTGCGGGAGAAAGGTGTGGCAATCTGTTCTATAACGATTATGAGAGCAGAGCCACATGGAGTACTTTAACTCTGTCCTCTGAAGACTCTCCAGGAGTTGGAATCCCCCTTGACACCAGTGGGCTTGTCTTGTTATTGATTTACAAAAACATTCTGTTTACCCGGGAGACATTGAGTTCAACAGAAAAGTAATTATTAAAAGAGTCACCAAAACCTCCCACCACTCACAGGTTGGCATGTGTGTATGGATATTTTTTTAACTTGTTTTATGGAGGGAAATGGTTTGTTTTTTAAAAATAAAAGTGGTTATGTTTTCACTGTTGCCAGATACTGACAGCTTTTATTTTTGCTCCTAAAGATACACTTCCCAGCCATGTGAGATCGTGGTGGACTGTGGACCATTCTCTGACAGAAGTGGACTTTATCAGCGACTGCTGATGGAATTAGAAGAAGCACTTAATTTTATCAATGACTGCAACATATCTGTGCATTCAAAAGAAAGAGATTCCACTTTAATTTCTAAACAGGTAAGCATGCCCAAAGTGAGTCCAGTATGTAGACTGGGAGGCTCGTGTGTGTTAATGTCGTGAACATGGATTTCTTATGAGGCTATTCACCAACCGTGTTAGTTAGAGGCCTCATCTCCTTAACTCTGGAAGGGCCGTGTTAGGCAGGGCGGGTTTACCTGATGGACCCTCAGAGTGTTAACTGTTGACCGTCTTGGTGAAGGGAGAGGATAAGTTAGCAGTCGTGTCAGAAATTTAAGTCTAAAGAGGGTGTCTAATATTCCCCCCCACCTTTGTCAGGTGAGTTAGTTCAAATCCTTATACTACATTCCATGAAGTCTTCTGCAGCTTCCTGGGTTGGGGGTGGGTGGGTGGGTGGGTGTGTGTGTCCGTCCGTCCGTCCATGTGTCCGTCCCCGGCCTGCCTGTCAGGGGTGGATGTGCTCTGAAGGGGCCTGAGGTCTTCCTGGTATGTTTCTCCCTCTCTCTGTGTGTGTCTCTCTGTCTGTCTGTCAGGGGTGGATGTGCTCTGAAGGGGCCTGAGGTCTTCCTGGTATGTTTCTCCCTCTCTCTGTGTGTGTCTCTCTGTCTGTCTGTCAGGGGTGGATGTGCTCAGAAGGGATGGCCTCAGGCCTTCCTGGTGTATTTCTCTCTGTGTGTGTGTGTGTGTTTCTGTGTGTCTGTCTGTCTGGCAGGGATGGATGTGCTTGTAAGGGGTGGCCTGAAGCCTTCCTGGTGTATTTCTCTGTGTGTGTGTGTGTCTGTGTGTCTGTCTGTCTGGCAGGGATGGATGTGCTTGTAAGGGGTGGCCTGAAGCCTTCCTGGTGTGTTTCTCTGTGTGTGTGTGTGTGTGTGTGTCTTTGTGTGTATCTGTCGGGGTGGATGTGCTCGTAAGGGGTGGCTTGAGGCCTGTGAGTGCCCCTGACGGCCCCTGTGACAGAGCTGCTACCAGCCTGCTGGGCATCTGACTCTTCTGTAGATCCTGTCGGACTGCCGCGCGGTGCTGGTAGTGCTGGGCCCCTGGTGTGCAGACAAGGTGGCCGGCATGATGGTGCGGGAGCTGCAGAAGTACATCAAGCACGAGCAGGAGGAGCTGCACAGGAAGTTCCTGTTGTTTACAGACACTTTCCTGAGGAAGATCCATGCCCTCTGTGAAGAGCACTTCTCCCCGGCCTCACTTGACCTCAAGTTCGTGACTCCCAAAGTCATCAGGCTGCTGGAGATTCTCCGCAAGTACAAGCCGTACGAGCGGCAGCAGTTTGAGAGCGTGGAGTGGTACAATAACAGGAACCAGGACAACTATGTGTCCTGGAGCGACTCGGAGGACGATGAGGATGACGAAGAGATGGAAGAGAAAGAGAAACCAGAGACAAACTTCCCTTCTCCATTCACCAATATTCTATGCGGAATCATTTTTGTGGAGAGGCGATACACAGCAGTTGTGTTAAACAGGTAAAAGTTTAAGATTCACTTTCGTTTTTTTTTAAATACTAACACTGGTCTGTGCATTGCTGTACAGAGATCACTTGTGACTGCTGTGATGCTAAACACTGTGACACTGATGTGTCAAATGCGATAGTGGTCACTCATGGTGGACAGTGTTTGGGAGAGCTCCCCGATTAAAACAAGCCTGAAAGCAGGAGCGGCATCCACTTCTGAAACGGCGTGCCTCTGGAAACGCTATGATCAGTGCTCAGGCCTTTCATTCATAGGGTCACTGAGTCGTCTAAGACTCAGTGTGTGTCAGTGAAACCCTGTAATAGCTTTCAGAGCTCGTGGAGGGCTGTGTGCGTTAAGTGTCCCTGGCTTGATGAGGTCCTGACTCTGTTGTGTCACACAGGGATCGATAGAGGATAGGCAGTAACTTGCTCACGTCTCGCTGTCAAGTGGAACCCACTCATCACTGCCCCTCCGGCACGTTTCTGTGGCCGCACCTCACACAGGAGGAGGCTGCCCGTCTTTCCCTCGCAGACACTGGATGTGAGCGGCCTGGGGGGTTAACAGCGCGACTCCCCACAGACTAGGCCACTGGCTGCGGTCTGCTGCTGAGGCGGAACCCACCCATAACTGACCCTCCAGTGGGCTTTCAGAGGCAGCAGGAGATGACTGTATTTCTCCTGAGGATTCAAATCATGTGCCTTCAGGTGGGCAGTACAGCTCATGATACATGTGGTCATTTCCCCAAAGGTTAGACTTGATAGGACTGCGAGTTTTTCTTACCGGATGTTAATCCTCCTGAAATAAGAGAGTTGTTGTTGTTAAGTTCCGTCAAGTCGTAGGCGACTCATAGCGAGCTTATGAACCAAAGTCCTCGACCCTTGCATGACTCTCATCCTTTCGCCAGGTTCATAGGGTTCCTGAGACAAGCTGTTGAAGTTCTAGTCTAGTAAGACCTTCTTTTGTTTTTAATTCACTTCTGTTAAATTCAGGTCCGCTGTGTGTTCATCTTTGACTGTGTGCGTGGTGTTTTGCGAGACGCCTCCCACCAGGCCTCCTCCTGTCGGTGATCTCGGACCGGATTCTGTACGTCTGTGCTGGTGTGCGGGGAGCCCTGGTGGCGCAGGCTGTAGGGGCTGCACTGCTAACGTGTAGACCTCGCGTCCTAGGCAGTCCAGACCCACCAGTGACTTTTTAGGGAAGGAGGAGGATTTGTTCCAGTTTACAGCCCCGGAGGCTTCATGGAGGGGCCTCTCAGACCAACCTGACCCGATGGCAGTGAGTTTGAGGTTGGACTTGTTAATTGTGGCTAAACTTAGGTCAGCTTTGATTCACGTTTGCCAGTCTTGAGACCTGGAGAGAGTCTGAGAGCCGGACCGTTTCTGATTTAGAGTGACCCATAACACAGTAAATGCTTCCATTTCAGAAGAGAGTCACACCACCAGGGAAGAGTGAAAAGAATCCTCGCAAAGGGCATGATGAAGCCAAAGTTTAGCTTGTGGTTTCCCGCCCACCAGCTACCTCTTCAGGAAAAACTTCTTTTTCCTGGGTGGACTCAGCCAGTGTGTGTCCAGTGGCCACTTCACGTATGGTTCTTTGGTTTGGGGTCCCCCAAAATGGTCTTTATTTTAGACTTAAGACAGTCTGCTTTTCTGTGAGATCTGTTAATTGGCCAAAGTTGATTCCAAAGAGCCTTTTCTGCAAGTAGTGATCTCTGAGGAAAAATTACATTTTGTTTCCTGAGGTAATTGGGATTTTTCCCTCCTCCCCTTAACTGCCGCTGAATGTTTAGAGGTTTTAAAAACTTTTTTGAGTCACGAGAAATTGGACTCTAGGGTGGTCATCTGGCAGTTTTCAGTCTGGTAATTTTCATCGTCATTGGGCCTGATCCGTCTGATGACTGTGAAGTGAAATAACTTTAGGGAGTGAATTACACTCAAATCAGAAGTTTAAAGTTGGAAAGGGACCTGCTGACTATCTAATCTGACCCACTTGTTTTGACAAAAAAAAAAAAAAAAAACCCAAAAAAAAAACCCCACAACACAAAAACAGAACAAACCTCCAGAAGAAAAGTCATTTTTTCTTGGTTAAATTACCAGTCAGTGGCGGAGACTGTTCTGAAATCCTGATGCCTGAAGTCCTGATCTGCTCTCTGTGATCCTGACGCCCTTGGGCACCATCAGGCAGGAGAAGCGAGAAGGAAGCCTTTTAGTGGGCGAGTGGGGCATCCTGGACGTGAGCAGCGCCGACAGGCTAGTTCACCTGAGCTTGGGTCTGAGAAACACCCCCCTTCCTCCATGTGGGCATTGATAACATTTTCCTGTGATTAGGAGAACAGTGAGAGAGCTCTGGTGGCTTAATGGTAAGGAGTTGCACTGCCAGCCCAAAGGCACATGGTTCAAATCCACCAGCTCCTCTGCAGGAAAAGTAGACCGTCTCCTCCAGGGCAGTTAACGGCCTCTGAAAACCCGCTGGAGGATCTGCATTGAGCCGGTTCCAACTTGACAGACACAACAACAACAAGGAAAAAGGGACTGGGGGTATCTTGCTTTCTGGCTGTGTGCGTGGCCCTTTCTGTGGAGGTCGGCTAGTCCTCCATGCAGGAGTGTTAACCTGAAAAGGTCGATCTAGCATCTGTCAGTCACTTGAAGGATCAGATTCACTGTGATCAACTTTCATAAAACAGGGCTGGAATTTAGTGTCGCATGATGACTCGAGTGGTCTGCTGGTTGGCTTTATAGGCAGCTAATTAAATGTACAATAGCGGTCTTGTTCCCATAAGCTTTTTAATAAGCTTAGGAAAACTTCCTGAGGTCCAGATTCTTTCCTTCCATCAGTTTAATGGGAGGAAAGCCCAGTCCTGAGTGCACAGTTTCAGGGGAGTTGATGCTGTTGTTGGTATGTGAGTGGCTGAACATGGGACCGGCTTCTCGTCTGTGCGTGTGGGTGTGGATGTGGTTGTGCTTGGAAACGTCCCCTGAAGCCTTTCCTCATGGATGATTTTTTCTGGTTTGTAGGTTGCCTTTGTGATTTTCACTGGACCTCTTGAGGGAGGGGATGAGGGTGATGGTCTTACCATATGACAGATGAGGAAAGCAGGGCTCTGACCCCCACGTGCTCACGGACGCCCAGTGGACAGAACTGGTTTCCTGTCTCCCTGCTGAGGGTCCCTCCTACTGCGCATGTCTTCTCTTGGTGTGGCGTGCTCATGATGCGGGCACCTGGATCCCCCTGGAATACACGCCTTGCACCCCCAGTCCCTGATAAATGTTTATGTGGGACACGTTTGACATTGTAGAGAAGTGGCAGCACATTGACATACACTGAGTCCCCGTGTTCCCTGCCCCTTATAATACACACCATGGTGTTTCCCACGGCCAGGAAGCTGACATAGGTGCTCCACTGTTAACTAAATTCCAGGTTTTATTTGGATGTCATCAGTTCTCTCTGACAATTTGGATCCACCAGTGGCCACGAGGGGGAAAGATGGGCAGTCTTCTTTTGTGTGATTTACTGCTTCTTAAAAACCTACTGGAGTGAACAGCAGTGAACTCTGATTCCACGGCAGCAGTGGTGGTGGTGGTGTTATGTGCTGTCAAGTCAGAACCAACTCATAGTTGGTCCTCCTACAGGTTCTTAGAGGCTTTAAATCACATGGAAGGAAATTTCCCACCTTTCTCCTCTGTGGGAGATTTGAACCTTCCGGCTTTGGATTAGCAGTGCCTCTCCTCTCCCCACTGGGTTACCAGAGCTCGATAGCAATGAGTGAGAGTAATTTTCCCCTTAACATCCTCTTTCCAGTCCAGGGCGCTGCACTGAGTTGCCCTCAGTTCCTCTGTCTCTTGTGGTTCTTCCGTCTTTCCTTGTTTGTGGTGACCTTCACCATCTCGGGGAGTACCAGCAAGGAATTTTGTGGACGACCCTGTGTTTGAGTTTACCTTGGGGTGTTTCAGAATTAAGCATGGATTAATAGGGGTAAGGTGGCTTTTCTAGCACAGTAATTGAACACTTGGCTGCTAACCAGAAGGTGAGCAGTTTGAATCCAGCATGTGCCCCTTGGCAGGAAGCTAGCTGGGGTCTACTCCCATAAAGATGAACAGCTTGAAGCCCTTGAGGGCACTTGTGTACTGTCACGCAGGGTGCCCGTGAGTCTCAGTTGACGAAGTGGCAGTGGGTTGATAGTATCAGCGTGACTTATTTTGGGTGATGTTCACCCTGTTGCTTGAAAAGGTGCTGTTTTCGCTTTTTGTAATCTGTTCTTTGGAGGCAAATCATCAGGTCTTGCCAAATCTGTAGGGTGAGGAGGAGGGGACATTAACCGCCACCTCCGGAAGAGGCCTGTGTTTGCCTGTGTCGTGGGGAATGCTTCTGTAGAACACTTACCCTTTCTTTCATCAGTGTCTGTATCTCTGTTTCTGTTGTTGGACCGTACTTTGCCTCTGTATAGACGCCTCTTTTCCTCCTTTGGGTTACTGGTGTCCACTGTGGTTTTTACTTTGTTGTTGAGATGCCTCCACCATCAGCTGTTGCAGGAGCTCTCGGAGGCTGGCCGCTGTGTCCTTCTGACCAGGCCCCGACCTCGTGCTTTAGGTCACCTCCCTGCTTTCTGGGGTGTCATATACCCCACCTTCCTCCTGTGTTTGCCTGCCCCAACCCTGGGCTTCTGCGTTTCTCTGAGGAGCCTTCTACCTTTCATAGCCACTCACTTTTTGGATGTATATTTTTGTAAAAGTTATCTAACTTAGTTTAAGCCTCAGCATTTTTCTTTTAAATTTTATTATTTTTTGTGTGCGTACCATCAAATCAGATCTGACAGGTACAGGAGGAGATTTCCCTTCCTTTTCCTGCCATCTGGTGGATTTGAACTGCATACCTCTGAGATTGCAGTGCAGCTTCTTGCCACTAGGCCACCAGAGCTCCCTTAAGCCTCAGCATTTTTATCTGGTAAAAATGGTAATAGTGCTGCTCTTTCTTACTGAGTTACTAAAATTCACATGAAATTTTATATAAAACTAGTTTTAAATTTTTTTGTATTAACTATTTTGTGTGTACCATCAAATCAGATCTGCCTGGTACAGGAGGAAAACTAGTCGTTTTATCACCGACTACCTTCCCCATGATTCACTGCTGTTGAATTGAGTCCAGCTCATGGGTACTCCTTGGAGGCAAGGATGGCAAAGCTGCTTCTTGGTCCTTTTGCTAGGAGAGGCTGTTCGTTAGAGAGGGACACCGTGCTTGGTAAGGTGGAGTGTCCGCGAGGGAGAGGATTGACAAGTGACTTCAAGTCCAGTGTGTCAGAGGTGGTCAGGATGGCGCAGGATAGGACAGCGTCCAGATTTACTGTGCATAGGGTCACTGTGGGTCGTACTTGACTCGGTGGCATTTAACAACAAGCAGCGGTGTAGACTGAGGCTGTCAACTTTCCTAAGAGGAGACTGCTCATATTTCTCCTTTGAAGTGACTGATGGTTTTGAACTGCTGACCTTTTGGGGTTGCTCAGCATGTTAACGCCTACACCACCAGTGCTTTGTGATAGGTTTGCACATTGGAGGATACTGAGAACTGTGATAAACTTTGGTTTTTTTTCTTTTGCTTTTTTAGTATAATTGTAGTGGAATTACATTTGATGTTCTTATATAGGAAGGAGAAGATATTGTTGACAGTATTGTTGATGATAATAAGTTGTTTGTGTATGTTTAGTGAGATCACAGTTTGTGACCATGCACTTCCTAGAAGTTGGCCAAGTCTGCCGGAGATGCTTTCTTGACTTGGTGTCTCTGAGCCCTAGGGGCTCAGTGGTTAGTGCACTCAACTGGTAACAGAAAGGTTGGTGGTTTGGGCGCGCCGGCCACTCTGTGGGAGAACGATGTGGCAGGGCGCTCCCACAAAGATTTACAGCCTTGGGAAACCTGTGGGCGGTTCCCCTGCGGGTCTGCTGTGAGTTGGAATCAGCTTAATGCTAGTGGGTTTGGTTTGCGGGCTTGTTTCTCATGTTATTAGGGGAGGTGATGCACTTGTGTAGACAGCGTTAGAGTACCTGCTCCCCAAAGGGCAGTCTGCAGGTTTCCCCCTTGTGTGGGTCCCCTGTAGTGAGCCTGGCCCCACGTGGAGGTCCCTGAGCAGAGCCTGAGCCATGAGAACCCTCACAGCAGACCGACTGACAGTAATGTTGCGTCAGCTGAGCATAATAAAACTTGGCGCTTGAGTTTTAGTGCTTTTAAATTTTTGCTTTAAGTAGCGGGAGTGGGGGGTATTTTAATAGTAATTCATTTCTGTGGGATTTTATAAAATTATTGTTGTCTGATGGATTGGGAATTTTAAACAGAAAGTGGGTTCTTCACTCCAGATAGTTAAGCCATTTGCAGGAGAGCAGGCTAGTTTCTCAGTCACTCAGGGAGCGACTTGTCTAGACTCCAAAGGCAATCGGGACTGCATCTGTGCTGGTTCTGTGAGCCCTGAGCTGGCGGCGGGGTTCACGTGCAAGCCCCCCCGTGAACTGTGGACTCGTGCTTTGTGTCTCCTGAAGCTTGGACCTTACAGCTCTGTCCCGAGTGCCCGGGCATTCCTTAATGTCATCTCAGAAGGGGTACATTTCCCTCCTTCTCAGCTTTGTTTAGCAGCTAGGCAGTGGCATTTGATGCTTTTTCCCAGGAGGCTGTGTCACCGTGCGTAGTGTGTCTTCCCTCCCGTCTCCTCTTTGTGAGGTTCACTGGGCAAAGACGAGGGCTTCGTCTCTCGGCCTGGGAACATGCAGCATCAGGCACTTTGGCAAAGCAGACATGTCGGTCACCTAACGAGCAGTGGCTTCAGGTGCCTTTCTTTACCTCTTGTGAGTGCTGCGGGGAAGGTACCCCCCCCCCCCCAGTCTTTATGAGATAATTTTCTGGTGTCTTGGCTTTGGGCCCCACTGTTCGTCCACACATTGAGACTGCATCTTGTCACTTGCTCTCCTGAGTGTACTATCCTAACTGGCGGATGCTTGGGATGGTCCTAAGGACATCTGAGCTTGGGTGCTCGCTGGGACAGGTGCCTGCTGGCCACTCGGCCGTTGGTCTAGGCCCTGTCGCCGCCTGCTCATGTAGTTAGGAGGACAGCAGCCGGGTGGACTGACTGACACACAGTTTTCGATGCGGAATTCCTGCTCCGTGACGGCTTCGGCAGAGCCATGTGGGATCACTTAGGTCAGGTGTGGAACCGTTTATCCTCCATGCTGAGTTTTTGAATGTGAGTATTTCCAAAATAGCTGTAATGGCAGTACTGCCTGTTAACCCCCTGGACCTGCGTAATAGGATCCCATCCTGCAGCCCCAAGGCTGGTGGCGGATCCCAGCTCCAGGCCAGAGCAGAGAAGAGGGGAGAAGTGGGGCAGGGTGGACCTGGAGATCCATTGCACATGACTTGGGGGTGGCATGGTCCTGGGGGCTGAGAGGCTTGTTAATGCCCAGAGACTTCTTCCCCACCAGCTCTCGGGGGCACAAGGCGATGGGATGAGAGGGACCGACATTCAGGCTGTACTTTGCCACCCAGCGGGGATGCTTTTATTAGCTGCCGAGTGAGAATAGGGCTTCCCTGGCTGTGGAAGTTCACCCACTTCCCCACACTGTTGGCACATACTTTGCGGGTGCACAGCACAGAAGACAGGAAGTGCCTGGAGAAGGGCCGTGTGTCCTCTCTCTTCACTGTAGGTCCTGTCCTGAAGCCCAGGCTGGAGGGGAACACGAGTGCCCTGCTTCTCTGTCCAGCTCTCCCGACTCCTGGTCCACTTGGACAGTCATGAGTTGTGCGACCACTTCATGGCTAGAGTAAATCTGCCCCATGTTTGGTCTGCTAAATCCTGGGTCTGTGCTTCAGTAGGATGATGAGTACCTGGGGTGGAGGTCTGTTAACCTCGTTGGAAAAAGAAAAACACCAAGACTATCTGTTAGGACAAGATATATTTATATCCTTTTTAAGAGAGAAGTTACAAACAAAAAATTCTCATTTCCTCACCCATGCTTAACTTCCAAATATTTATAATGCTCTTAGATTAATAAAGGAAGCCGGCAAGCAAGACCCGGAACTGGCGTACATCAGCAGCAACTTCATAACCGGCCACGGCATTGGGAAGAACCAGCCTCGCAACAAGCAGATGGAGGCGGAGTTCCGGAAACAGGAAGAGGTAGCTTCACTGAGAGTACTGCCACCTTAGCACTCCCTGGCCACGTGCCGACAGGCCCTGCTGGCCAGGTCCCCTCCGATGCGCTTCCTGGCGCGTCTATTACATAGATACCGGACCCCACGCCACAGCTGCCCCCTCGGAGCTGGCTGAGCCTGGAGCCGGGGCTCAGCGTGGCAGCAGCTGTTAACCTTGAATCTTTAACTACCACCAGCCATTGCATTTGCCTTTGTTGGAATGATCTCAAAGCCACATCCCACACAATGCAGAGGAGTAATGGTAGCATCTGCTTGGACCAGGAGCCACAGGATGAGCTCCCGGCCCGGACAGGGGCTTAGGGTGTGCCTCCTGTTACCCTACCTTGGTTTGATGCTTTAAAGATAATGCAGTATTTATAGAGTTTGGCATACTTCCCCCCCCCCCCATACTTTTTAAGATCTTCATAGAGAAAAGCATTGTAAAGATTCTAAAACCTAATACATCATTCACACCAGTAAACAGAAACCTTTTATTTAAAGTTTGTTATAGAACTAGTAAGATTAACAGAATAATTCATGTTGGAGTCATTTTCCAGATGACAACTTTAAAAAGAAAAGCCTTACTGTGCCCCCTGTTGGTGCTGCTGTCTTTACAGCATTTGCCAGTGCGTGTGCAGACATACCTCTGGCCTGTCGGGCATGGCCGTAGTGTGGTCCCTTCCCTCCGCCCATGTCTGGTCCCCTTCCCACATACCCACATGTAAATCAGGATTGGTTACTACTCAGCAGGACAGGGCTTTTAAAGAACAGCTTTAAAACAGTGTCTTCATCCTGAAGAGTTCTGTAGCTAGAGAGTGTCAGAGCTGATCTCTGAAAACCATGTCGGTTTTAGTTTCCTGTTTATCCTGCAGTCAGAAGGTACTGATATTTCAAATAGAGTATGGAACAGGCTTTCACCCGCTGGAAGGGTGTTGACAGAGCAGCACGGAGGTGACAAAGATATCAGCAGAGACTCAAGCTGTCATTGTGGAGGCTGTAAACTGCCACAGGACCCAGACATGATCGGGTCACCCTGAGACGAGAACTCAGGCACTGTTCCCTCCTGCAGCACCTGCCACTGCTGGTCAGCTCCAGTATCTCTGCAGTAAAGGCACTTTGGGTTTCTAAGTCACATTCAGTGAGAAGCACCTCCACAAAACCAGTGTTTCCTTGCCTGTGTCTGTCCTTCCCGAGTTTTAGTCCCTAACGGTTAAGCATCTTAGGACCATGTGTGAGAAATGACAGTTGTCACTTCATTCCACTGTATTGTTGTCTTTGGACATTAATTGACATGTTACTCTGAAGTCTATAATGCTGAGGAGAGTGAATACATAGATGTAGATGTCTTTCTAAGAATTGCATTTTTTTTGGTTGATTCCCCTGCCCCCAGGTCCTTAGGAAATTCCGAGCACACGAGACCAACCTGCTTATTGCAACCAGCATCGTGGAGGAGGGTGTCGACATACCCAAATGCAACCTGGTGGTTCGCTTTGATTTGCCCACCGAGTACCGCTCTTACGTTCAGTCTAAGGGGAGGGCACGGGCCCCGATCTCTAATTACATCATGCTGGCAGACACAGACAAAATCCAGAGCTTCGAAGAAGACCTCAAAACCTACAAAGCTATTGAAAAGGTAAGAACCAGAACTAAAGGTTGCACCTGTATGTTGTCATTCTTTGTGTGAGCAGAGATGGGTATAAAACAGTTACATCTCCAGAGATTAGTGTCCACCAGGGGCCTGCAGCATGTACCTCGGAGGATGTTGGGGGTGACTCTGGACAGGTTAGCTGGGAATGTGCTGTGTGACTGACTGATGGTAGCTTGACGTGTGGACTGACTGGGTATCGACAGCCCAGTCCCTGAATTCATGAGTGGTGGTGATGAGCGCACGTGCCCGCTCGCAGTCGGTTACAGCCCTCACTGTCCTGCTGAATGTTCGTGTGATCAGATAAGAGGGCTTCACTGGGGGAAGCTCTTGCAGCTGGGCCCTGAGGGGTGTTGAATTTTCTTTAGGGGATATAGAGGTTTCAGGTGAAAAGAGCTTTTCTTTAGCTCCTGAAGCTGACAGCTAACATATGGCAAAGAAGGCATTTCTTTCTGTCCTGTTGTTTAAATTGTTCAGATCTTGAGAAACAAGTGTTCCAAGTCAGTAGACACCACGGAAACTGACATTGAGCCTGTCGTGGACGATGATGATGTCTTCCCCCCGTATGTGCTGCGGCCGGATGACGGGGGCCCAAAGGTCACCATCAACACAGCCATCGGCCACATCAACAGGTGTGGTATCGCCCCGACGAGGGCCGCCCCCTAATCTAAACCTCTGTGTATCAGTGCCTGTCGTCCGCGTGCAGTCACTGCTCTCTTTCATTTATGGCGTGTGCTATTTTATGTTTGTTTAGAAGAAATTGCTTTTATTATTATTTTATTTGTTGACTGAAAATGAAAAGCAGTATTATGCATTGATGTTCGATCTCACTGATAGGTCTGACATCATGAAGGCTGCATATTTTGGCTGGATTTAGTCGAGTCGATTATATTCACTAATTTTTAATCTCAATCCTGAAATATGCTGTTTTGTCAGAATAATGAATTTCCTGTTGTCATTCTGTAGGGTTAGGATAAATTACTTAGTAGGTTTGAGTGCTCCATGGACCTCCTACTAAGTTGGCACGAGACAGTGTTTTGTCACAGGCCTGTCCTCTGGCTCTACCTCTTTGTTGTATCTTCAAGGATCCCTGGTGGCTTAGCACCTAAGCCCCAGCCTGCCAGTGGGAAGCTTGGCAGGGTGAGCGAGACCCACCCAGCGTGTCCTGTTAAGGGCAAAAGTCTAGCAGAGCCCGCGGGGTGGTTCTCTGTGACACAGAGCAGTCTCCTGTCCACAGCGCATCTCCAGCCTCTCCCGGACTCTGATGACCTGACCCTGGAGTGTGCAGGCCTCGTGGGGCGGCTTGCTGATGGTCCCCTGCGATCTTTTTGTCCAGTCTGGTGCTGTGTGCCTCCTCTTCTTCCTCGCCAGGGCGCACGGTGCCCGTTTGTCTCCGTCTTGCTGGTGTAGCTTTGATCCCCGGAGTACAGTGTCTGGCTTTCTCTGCCTCAGAGCCGCCTCCCCGTGTGGTTGGTGAGGATTCACGGGGAGCAGCCTGAGACTTACTAGTGTTTCATGCCTCCTGGTTCCACTCAATGCTTTAAGCTCCGTTGAGGCTTCTTCCTTGAATTAATTATTAGTGTGGTAATGCTTAATAACATAGTTCTGTTAGCTGGTATCATAAAGAAGCACTTGTTCTTCATTTGCTTATTTAACTTTAACTCAATATGAATTTATGGGTTCCTATTCCATTCGGTAGGTTTTTAATCTGTGACTGTTTACTTTAATGATAAAATTGTCTGTGATTTGATCCCTGGGAGCTCTTTTGGACCAGATCCTGTGGACACGATGTCCTTTGATGACTTCTTTTACAGCGCAGGATATTTACTGCCCAGCTGTGGGATGGACTTTCTCTGCAGGCTCCTGGACCTGCCCCACACGGGCTCCCCCCGCCCCTGGGTGCTGACTGGACCCTGGTCTCCCTGGCTTCATGTCCTGCTCTGACACTCTGTGCTGCTGGGTGGTCACCCTTCTTGCCCCCGGTGTAGTGCCGTGTTGCCCTCCCTCCCACCATCTCCCGGTGGTCCCTTGACACCTTGAGCTCCTGTGAGCCTGTGTCCACCAAGGCAACACTCTGCTGGGCCACCTTCAGAATCACTGCCTCAGCCCGTTGCCATGGCCACACTGTCAGGCTGAGGGTCTGCCTCGTTTTTACTGAACCTCTCCTTTAGCAAGCATGAAGTCCATTCACTGAGTATTTGAAACAGCCGACCTCAAACTCCCAAGTGTCCACGCTGATGCAGTAGCGGGAGGGAAAGGCAGAAATCTGAGCATCTCAGACTAGGAGTATTAGTACGTGGCGTCTCGTCATTCCCTTGCTTGAAGGTTCACCATGAGAATTTCTTTTCTTCACAGATACTGTGCTCGATTACCCAGTGATCCATTTACTCATCTGGCTCCTAAATGTAGAACCCGGGAGTTGCCTGATGGTACATTTTATTCAACTCTTTATCTGCCAATTAACTCACCTCTTCGAGCCTCCATTGTTGTAAGTTTAGAAAACAAAATGATTGTGCCTTTAAAGTATGTCGTTAATGGATTCTCTCAGCCGCTCTAAGACTGTGCAAGTTATAGGTAAACTTGGTTTTAAAATCTTGTGAAAGTAGGTTGATAGTTCTTTTGCAGTGAACAGGACATTCAGATTTCCACCAGGCCATATGATTTCCAGGGTCTAGACTCTGGCCAGATGGCCTCAGTGTGTCCTCTGAGTCTCAGTGATGCAAAATTTCTGCCACTGTCACCTAGTTGTGACTTTGATTCCGACGCCTACAGAGGACATAGTTGAGGTGCCTTAGTTAGGTTTTGTTGAGTTGAAATTCTGCCTTTCTGCAGTTTCGTCCTTAGTCCTAATGCAGATTTCCAGAGACTGTTCTGTTGTGCTTGGAAGAATTGCTGAGTGTGGCCGATGCTGCAGTAGCATCTCAGTCTGGCTGTGCTTTGTTACTGTTTTAAAAACAGTGCTGAAAATGAGAGAAAGTAAGAGACTTATAAGTTTGGTTGAAATTCAGTTCACAAAAATAATATTATCTTGGTTGTAACTTATTTTGTTTTTGCCAGGCAGGGTTTTTTTAGATTTATAATACAAGTTTGGAGATTAGGATTTTTAGTAAATAAAAGAAAGGAAGATACTTTTAAAAGTTTGGTTGAAATTAAGGTCATCAAAACGGTGTTATCTTGGTTGTATCTCATTTTGGTTTTGCGTGGCAGGATTTTTTGAGATTTATATAGTTAAAGTTTGGAGACTAGGATTTTTTAAAACTTACCCTTTTTCAAAGTTAAAAACTCTATTCTGGTAAGTTGAAGTTTGAAGAAGCTGTTGTCATTAGGTGCTGTTGAAATGAGTGACCCTGCAGACAGTGGATCACCTTGTCCTGTCCTGTGCTGTCCTCATCATCTGACACACCTGAGGCCATTGCTGCAATCACCATCTCAGTCTGTCTTGTTGAGGGTCTTCCACTCTTCTGCTGACCCTCCACCTTTCCATGAATGATGCTCCTATCCAAGGAAAGGCCCCTCCTCACAACATGTCCAAAAAGAGAACAAACAAATGCAGAAAGAGTGCAGCCAGGGTGCTCCTTAGAGACTTCCTCTCACTTCATGTGGGCATGTTGAAGATAGTGGGACAATTCTGTAAACGTTTACTATCAAGCGAGTTACACTACAGTTACAGTGTAGCTGTGTACATATAGAATTGAGACGCTTCCTTTTACTTCCAGGGCCCACCGATGAACTGCGTACGGTTGGCTGAAAGAGTTGTGGCTCTGATTTGCTGTGAAAAACTGCACAAAATAGGTAAGACTAAGAAATACTTGAAAATAAAAACCAAAATTCTGAAGACACTACTGGTGTCTTCCATTGTCACTACCTTTCATTCAAATAATAGGTTGGCTGCTTGTCACCTCTGAATACTGTGAGTAACCAGCTGTGGTCCCTTAACACGTTGCCGCCAATGACGGCAAAATGTGTTTCTAAGCACAGTCGTCAATTTAAAGTGTGCAGCAACATGTGAAATAACCAGCCGTGTTAAGTAACCAAAGCCAAACCAGTTGGAGATTAAAGGAAGGACTAGGAGTAGGGTTATGGAACCAGAACAACAGAGGACACAGTGAGAGTGTTGGTACTTTGTGAAGAATGCACCCAGTGCCATGCAATCAGTTGTGTAGAAGTGGGAGCTTAATAAGCTTTGTAACTTTACCTAAAAAACCCCCCTCATAGCTGACCCTCCCTCGGGTTCCCGAGGCTGTAAATCACACCGGAGGAGAGTGCCCATCTCTCTTCTTTTTTTTTTTTGGTTTTTTTTTTCCTATAATTGTATTTTATTAATTTTCATAAACATTTACAGAGATTTTGGGCTTCCACTCATTCATTGTTGCACTATTCTCTCTACCCTCCTCCCAGTTTGCCATCTCTCTTCTGAGGAGTCATGTGTGCTTTTGGATCACCATTGCATTTCCCCTCAAATTAGTCTTGGCTAGTTTACAGCTTAGGTCACGCATCGGCCTGTGCACTGAAGGAGGGCACCTCGAGTGCCCCTGCAGCTTTGAGGGACAGAGAGGAAGCAGCCTGCTCTTGCTAGGCTCCAACCTGTGGGGGTTCCCATGAGGTGGAATTGACTGACAGCCTGGTTTAGGTTACAGATGAACCCACAGCCTTCTGTGCTTGAAGGGGAGGACTAATTTTCATTTGTCTTTATAAATCAGAACTGTTGATAGGTGTTCGTTATATCAACATCTGTCTTTAGATGTTTCTATCTCAGAATTTTCAATCCTCTTATTGACTGGATGTCCAAATAGACTTTCCCTTAAGTACTGGGCCTGAGTATTTTCACATGATTAAAAAATGCTTGGCACCAGTAGCCAGGAAATTAAAAGACGTATTGCGATGGGAAAGTCTGCTGTTAGGGACCTCTCCATAGTACTCAAGAGCAATGGTGTCTCTCTGGAGACTAAGGTGCGTCTGATACAGGCCATGGTCTTTGCAATGACTTGTTATGCATCAGAGAGCTGGACAGTGACTAAGGAGGATAGAAGGAGAATTGATGCCTTTGAGCTGTGGTGCTGGAGAAGAGTATTGAGGGTACCATGTACTGTTAGGAAAGCAAACAGATTCATCCTGGAAAGGGTTAAACCGGGTGGCTCCTTGGAGGCAAGGATTCTGAGGCTTCCTCTGACGTACTTTGGACATGTTGTGAGGAGGGACCGGTCCTTGGAGAGGGACATCATGCTTGGGAAGGCGGAGGGACAGCGCAGGAGAGGAAGGCCCTCTATGAGGTGGATTGATTCAGTGACTGGAGTAATTGGGATGGGTTTATCGGATGGTGCGGTTGGCACAGGACAGAGCAGAGTTTAGGGCTTATTGTACATAGGGTCGCTATGAGTCATAAGTGACCCAACGGCACATAACAACAACAGCATCGATAAGAAATAACTGACCAGGTAAATGTGTACCAACAAACGATGATCTGGGGGTGCAGGCAGAGAGAGGGGTGGGTATGTTCATGCTTCTGTTTGAGATGATGGAAAAGTTCTGGAAACCCAGTGGTGACATGTGGACCACACTCTAAATAGAATTAGTGCTGCTCAGTAGAACACGTGAAAGTGGTTAAAATGTCTGTCTTTTGTGATATAAGCTTTAACCCTTATTTTTATGGTCAGTGTATTTAGCATAAAAATTTAGCAGCGAAGAAAAGCAAAAATGCCTACATTCTCCTTCCCATCCCCCTTGGAGCTGGGATCGTGCTCTCCCGGGGCCTCCGCGACTGAGCGCTCTCCTCATTGCGTCACTGTGTGTGTCCTAGGTGAGCTGGACGACCACCTGATGCCGGTAGGGAAAGAGACTGTTAAGTACGAAGAAGAGCTGGATCTCCATGAAGAAGAAGAAACCACTGTGCCCGGAAGACCAGGTTCCACAAAGCGAAGGCAGTGCTACCCCAAAGCTGTTAGTATTGCTGAGAAGGAGTGAACCCCCAGCCTCTCTGGCTGTTCAGTGTCCACTGGAGGCAGGTCTGGGCTCCCCTGCTGGCGTCCCAGGCTGTGGTTGGGCCCACGCTGCTCTGAGAAAGCCTCCTGGAGGGAACAGTGCCCTTCCCATCCTTGCTGCTTCCCGACGATTCGGGAACTTGGCCGTCACATCGCCCCGAGAAGTGGATTGTGTTCAGAGACATGCTTTTGGGGTCAGGTTCTTGCTTAGCTTAGGAATGGGTGTGATGAGAGAGGGCTTGAGCTCACAGGTGAGTGGGATGCCCATGGCAGACTGGAGCAGGGATCTCTGACGGGTTAGGATGCGAGCAACTGGCGTTGTTGAAGAAAGGGATTTCTCTGGAAGGTGTCAGCTTTTAGTGAAGACAGGAATAAATTTGTGTTCTTGACAACTCTTGGAGAAGAGGCTGTTAACTTGAGATCAATCCTTCCTTTCTCTTTGCAACTGCAGATTCCAGAATGTTTGAGGGACAGCTACCCCAAACCTGAGCAGCCCTGCTACTTGTATGTGATAGGAATGGTTCTAACCACCCCTCTCCCGGATGAACTCAACTTCAGAAGGCGGAGGCTCTACCCGCCCGAGGATACCACCCGATGCTTTGGAATCCTGACAGCTAAACCCATACCTCAGGTAGACCCTGGGCTTGGCTGGAGAGGTCCTCTGTGGTTCAGGAAAGGAGAAGATGCCTTCTGTTATTTCTACGTGTTTAATAGTTTAAAATTTAGCTTGCTTCATCTTCTGGGGTTTTCAGAGAAATAGAACAGAGAGCAGCTCTTGTTAACCTTGAGTGGGGGCTGTTCTGTCGTTATCATCAGATTCCGCACTTTCCTGTGTACACGCGTTCTGGAGAGGTTACCATATCCATTGAGTTGAAGAAGTCCGGTTTTACTCTGTCTCTGCAAATGCTTGAGCTGATTACACGACTTCACCAGTATATATTCTCACATATTCTTCGGCTTGAAAAACCTGCACTAGAATTTAAACCTACGGAAGCTGATTCAGCATACTGTGTTCTACCTCTAAATGTTGGTAAGAAGGACCAGACTTTAGCATCCAGTTCATACTCGCTCAAGAGTGGAGATTGTCTTTGACTATTTATTGGCTTATTTTACATGTTGTAGCATTCCTTTGCTTTTGTCCTGCGTAACTGAATTAGATGCAAATGAACATACAAGAATCGTAATATACTATGATACTAATCAGCTAAAGCATTGGTGGTGGTTCTCTGTTTTGTCTTTTCTTCCTCAAGTTAACGGCTCCAGCACTTTGGACATCGACTTTAAATTCATGGAAGACATTGAGAAATCTGAAGCTCGCATAGGCATTCCTAGTACAAAGTATTCCAAAGAAACCCCGTTTGTTTTTAAATTAGAAGATTACCAGGATGCAGTTATCATTCCCAGGTGAGTATGTTCATGAGAAGGAAAACAGGGGATGTGTGCTTAGAAAAGATTCACTTGTGCTCCTGGGGATACCAGCGGGCCGTGGCTTTGGCCTTGACATTGCTGGTTAGTGACAGTGGAGGCATCTCACTCTGCACTGGACCTGTCCCCTCCAGGCCGTGTGCTCAGAAAACAGACCCCGAAGCACTGTAGATGCCACGATCGTCCTCAGTGAAGGTCTTATTCCCCCCATAACATTGATGTTTCCTCTTATAACCGCCATCCTTTAACCGCCAGAGTCTTCTAGAGAATTTGATCATAAATAGTGGTATTATTTCTGAAATTCCTTTACAGTGAGTAATGTTGCTAAGCTCCACAAAAGTAGTAAATCAGATTGCTTTTTGTTTTCCTGTGAAAATTCAGAGACGGGGGTTTCTGAGCAGTGCAGTAAAACATAGGCACATTGCCAAGAATGGGTTGGTAGCTGTGAATCGCTTGTTCTGGTTTTTGTTCTTCAGAGTCATTATTTTAAATGTTATTGTGGTTGTTAAGTACTGTTGACTCGAAACTGACTTATCGTGGACCTGCCCGTGGGTTGCCAGAACTGTAAATAATCACACAGGAGGAGATTGTCTGTCTGTCTCCTGTGGAGCTGCTGGTAGATTTGAACTGTGTGCCTTTAGGTTGGCAGCGCAATTCCTTACCACCAAGTCCCACATTAAACTGTCACCAGTTGTGGGTGACACAGTAACATGTCTTGTGACAGGTGTTTTTCATGGTCCTCAGTAACCACAGAAGCCACACCACCGCCACCACCAAAGTCCCTCCTAGCTCCTGGTGTCCCGGCAGGACCGTGTGGAACTACCCCTTGGCATTCTCCAGGCTGTAAATCTTAGCACACACTGACTTCCCCATCCTTCCTCTTTATACTGACAACCAGCCGCTCAGTTTGCAGTTCAGTGCCGAATCCACTGTCACTCGTCTGCCTTAGTTAGCATGCAGACTTCACACTCATTGCCAGGGAGTCAAACCAGCTCTCAGCCGACTCTCCAGTGGGTTTTCTAGAAGCCGTCAAGCACTTGGGAGGCAACTGCCCATCTTTCTCCTGTGGAGCTACTGGCTTGGACCTGTAGAGAGGCCCAACCTTTCAGTAAGCAGGGAAGCTCCCGACAGTAGCCCCCTTGGTTAGCGTTAGGGGGAGGCAGCTATTGATCTCTTCTGACTGGACGACACCCCCTCCCTACTCCAGTGTTTGCTCACTTATTTGGACATTGGAAATGTATTGATAAAATGAAGACCTTTGACAGTGCCATATAGCTTCCATGTTACGAACATGTGGTTAGTTTAGAATGAGAAAGACGATGATCAGGTAGGGAAGAGTAGATTTTACGCGCTAAAAGCTGCAGTTCGCACTGTCACACGTTCACTTGAAGTATATTCTTGGGAATGGAAATTCTTCCTGTTGTATTTATTTGTTCACCTTTCAGATGCCTGCGCTGAATCACTGTTTTTCTTGCCATATTTAGCAGTGGCTTTGTTTTGATGGTAGTTGATTTAAACCCAAACGCCTGTGGTTTTCTTTTTCAGATACCGCAACTTTGATCAACCGCACCGATTTTATGTGGCTGATGTGTACACTGATCTTACCCCGCTCAGCAAGTTTCCTTCCCCCGAGTATGAAACGTTTGCGGAATATTATAAAACAAAGTACAACCTGGACCTGACCAGCCTCACCCAGCCCCTGCTCGACGTCGACCACACGTCCTCCAGGTAGGGAGCGAGCGAGTGTGGCGCCAGGTTCACCTGAGTCACTCTTTCAGAGTAGACACTGTCCCCACTGCCCACCAGGGACCCTCCGGAGGTCAGGAGGTGGTTCCCATGCAAAGGGCCAATTTGGGTTCTGGAGTGCTGAAGGGGACTGTAGGCACGCAAGGCCAGCTGCCCAAGGCCGGGAGGTGGGCCACTTATTTTGCTTAATTGCAGTGCTGTTACTTTGAAATCTTCCTGTCTAGACTTAATCTCCTGACACCTCGCCATCTGAACCAGAAGGGAAAAGCGCTGCCCCTCAGTAGCGCTGAGAAGAGAAAAGCCAAGTGGGAAAGCTTGCAGAACAAACAGGTACGAGCACGCTGCTGTGTCATATGTGTCCTATAAGGCGAGTGTCCGTGACTGGGAATTCGCCAAAATTTATCTAACCCTTAGATTTTGTTCTCTTTTTAATCAACACATGGATTTTGTTTGGCTTCTTTTGGGTAGTCCGTTGCTTCCTGCTAATCTTCAGATTTCAAAAGAAAAGAAAGATGCTAAGTTTCCAGTTCTTGGTACTGGGAACACCTTTGTGAGCTCCGGATTTCTCAGGGTCTTCCATGAATTTAAAGTCAGAATCCACTGGACAGAGAGTTTTCACAGGGTCCTTCAATTAGTTTTTGTATGTTCCAGGATCAATCACGTTTGTCCTGAGGATTATTTTAAAGTATGTGTGTGAGTGTGTGTGTGTTCAACAGTGGTTATTGCTGGTAACTAAGATGTTCTTTCTTTATCCATCCAAGGAGTTGGTCTCCGGCTTTCTTTTTCACCTGCTTTTGCCCCCTTCTTTGCTACCTCCTAGATCCTGGTTCCAGAGCTCTGTGCGATCCATCCCATCCCTGCATCACTGTGGAGGAAAGCGGTCTGTCTGCCCAGCATCCTCTATCGCCTTCACTGCCTTCTCACCGCAGAGGAGCTGCGAGCGCAGACGGCGAGCGATGCCGGTGTGGGCGTCAGGGCCCTGCCTGCAGACTTCAGGTAGGTCAGCGCCTGTGCCGGCAGCCGGGGAGCCCTGCCGGATGGTGTGGGGTGTGGGACGGCTCACTGAAGGTCAGTGGTGTGCAGCCACCAGCTGCTCCACAGGAGGAGGCTGAACAGTCTGCTTCTGTGATGCTTTACGGCCTTAGAAGCCCAGTCGAGGGTGTCCCTGCGTGAGAATTGACTGAGGCTGGTGGCCTTGGTGCTGGCAGCCGAAAGAACATGGGTCATGAAATCTTGGTTGCCTTAGAGTGGACTTAAGTTAAAATTTTAGTATCTTGTAAAGTTGTTGTTGTTGTTATGTGCCATCGAGTAATAGCGACCCTGTGTACAACAGCCCTAAACCCTGCTCTAGCCTGTGCCAATTGCACCGCCTCTGACACACCCATCCCGATTACCCCAGTCACTGAATTAATCTACCTCATAGAGGGTCTTCCCCTCCTGCACTGTCCTTCCACCCTACCAAGCATGATGTCCCTCTCCAAGGACCTGTCTCTCTTTACAACATGTCCAATGTATGTCAGACGAAGCCCCAGAATCCTTGCCTCCAAGGAGTAGCCTGGTTTAACCCTCTCTGGGATGAATCTGTTTGTTTTCTTGGCAGTCCAGGGTACATTCAGTACTCTTCTCCAGCACCACAGCTCAAAGGCATCAATTCTCCTTCTATCCTCCCTAGTCATTGTCCAACTCTCTGATGCATAACAAGTGATTGCAAAGACCATCTCCGGTATCAGGCGCACCTTAGTCTCCAGAGAGACACCATTACTCTTCAGTACTTTGGCGAGGTCCCTAGCAGCAGACTTTCCCATCGCAATAGGTCTTCTAATTTCCTGGCTGCTGGTGCCAAGAGTGTTGACCGTGGAGCTGAGCAAACTGAGCTGTGAACAATCTCAATCTCTTCGCCATCCATCTTGATGCTACCAGTTGGTCCAGTGTTGAGAATCTTTGTCTTCTTGACATTGAGCCTCAGTCCATACTGAAGGCTGCAGTCCTTGACCCTCTGCAGTAAGTGCATGAGGTCCTTCTCAGTTTCGGCAAGCAGATTTTTAATAAATCTTCCACCAATCCTGACAGCACACTTCTCCTCATTGAGCCCAGCCTCTCGGATAATCTGCTCTGCATACAGGTTGAAAAAGTATGGAGAGAGAACACATCCCTGGCGTACGCCCTTCCCAATTTTGAACCATGCAGTGTGTTACCCTGCTCTGTTCTGACGACTGCCTCTTGGTCCAAGTATAGGTTTCGCATTAGCACAATTTAATGTTCTGGGATTCCCATTCTTCTCAGAGTCAGCCACAGTTTGTTATGATCTACACAGTCAGACGCCTTTGCATAATCAATGAAACACAGATAGACATTCCTCTGCTAAGATCCATTTAACATCAGCTACAATATCCCTAGTACCACAACCCCTTCTAAACCCAGCCTGGACTTCCGGCAGTACTCTGCTGATGTGCTGTTCCAGTCGTTTTTGGATAATCTTCAGTAGAATCTTGCTTGCATGTGAAACGAATGATATTGTTCTGTAGTTTCCGCACTCAGTTGGGTCACCTTTCTTTGGAATGGGGACAAATATAGATCTCTTCCAGTCAGTTGGCCAAGTGGTTGTTCTCCAGATTTCTTGGCACAACTTGGTGAGCACGTCCATGGCAGCATCTGTTAGCTGAAATATGTCAATTGGTATACCATCTATTCCTGGGGCCTTATGTTTTGCTATTTCCTTCAAAGCAGCCTGAACGCCTTCTTTCATCACCATAGGCTCTTGCTCAAATGTTATTTCATTGAGTTCTTCTGTATCTGCCAATTCCTCTCGATACAGTGACTCAGTATATTCCTTCCATCTTCTTTTAATACTTCCTGGATCGTTTAACATTCTGCCTAAAGCGTCCTTGATTATATCAACTCGAGGTTTGAATCTGTTCTTCAGTTCCTTGAGCTTAAGAAATGCTGAACGAGTTCGGCCCTTTTGATTTTCCGACTCTAGCTCCTCGCACATTTCATTGTAAATTCTTGTAAAGTAATTATTTAAAAATGTAAGTACAACTAGGAATGTTTAGTACCTGAAATAACTGTCTAACTCCCATCCATGTGTGCTCTCTGCCCCTCGGTTCCTGGGTCCTGGTCAGGTTACAAAAGGACACTCCTCCCCAAGGTCAGATTGTTAGGAAAGGACCCTCCTCCCCAAGGTCAGTAGGTTACAGAAGGACCCTCCTCCCCAAGAGCAGACATCTGTGTCTTGCTGTGCTGACAGTTGAAGTAAGAATGAGAAGGTCCTTAGCTCACGTGCAGGTGTTTTCAGACTGTTTGTCTCCTGAGAAACGACATCTACATTAAAAAGTGACCCTCATCCCCCCACACGTTCTGGTTAATTTTTGTCTCCCCCCCCCAACCCCAGGCAGCGCTGCCTTCAAATCAAGTACTGATTTAGAAGCCCCTCCGTTAATTCCTGTTATCTAAAGATGGGTTGACGAGACCAAGATGGTCGTAGGGATTAAAATAGAACAGTAAAGTATTTGGAATTTCATTATAACAGTGGCCCTCTGTTGGAACGTACTGCCTTGTCCACCACAGGTTAAATGCTGTAGCCGGTGTTTACACATGTCATCACGAGGGTGACAGTTCTGAGGTGGGAATTGTTTTTAGCCTTGGGTTTGAGTGTGGGGGCTGAGGCGTAGAGAGGCTGTTTAAAGAGGTAAGATGCCAGTGGTAGTCAGCCAGTTAGCGGTGGACCTGGGATTCGAGCCAGGCTGCCTGGGGCTCAGGGTCCTGCCGGCTGGCTTCACAGTCCTGACCTTTAACGCCTGCACTCTCTGTACAAGGGACGGAGCTGTGTGTGGTCATGGCGTCCTACTTAGTAATGTCCACTGTGCAGGATTCCAAATCATGTGGCTTTCACTTGTAAAATTTTCTTTCCAAAGTTAGGTATCTAGATATCGAGAGGGAGCTCTGGTGGCTTAGTGGAAAGGAATTGCACTGATAACTCAAAGGTATGTGGTTTGAATCCCCCAGCTGCTCTTCGGGAGAAAGATGGACAGTGTCCTTCTGTGTGATTTAGAAAACCCACTAGAGGGCAACTGTGGGTCGGTTCTGACTCGATGGTACAAAACAGCAGCAGATAGTCCTTTGGAAGGAAATAATTTTTTTAAAAGTAACCATTTTACATGAAGTTAAGTTAGAAGTCTATCTAGTTATAGGGAGTCTTTGTCGTTGGGAAGAATCTGATGGAATGTTATAAAAATGTCTTCACAGGTACCCTAACTTAGACTTCGGGTGGAAAAAATCTATTGACAGCAAATCTTTCATCTCAATTTCTAATGCCTCTTCAGCCGAAAATGACAATTACTGTAAGCACAGCACAATTAGAGTCCCTGAAAATGCTGCACATCAAGGTGCTAATAGACCCCCCTCCCTTGGGAACCCCGACCAAACGTCTGTGAACTGTAGAACGCCCCTCACCGAGTCACCTGGTAAGCTCCAAATTGAAGTTTCAACAGATCTCACAGCAATTAACGGTCTTTCTTACAATAAAAACCTTGCCAATGGCGGTTATGATTTAGCTAACAGAGACTTTTGCCAAGGAAATCAGCTGAATTACTACAAGCAGGAAATACCTGTACAACCACCTACCTCATACCCCATTCAGAATTTCTACAATTACGAGAACCAGCCCAAGCCCAGCGATGAATGTACTCTACTGAGTAATAAATACCTTGATGGAAATGCTAACAGATCTACCTCAGACGGCAATCCCGCAGCGGCCAGGACGCCTGGCGGAGCACTCACGGGCGGGAAGGAGTCGGAGCAGGGCCCCTCTGGAGGCTACTCCTCGAGGACTCTGGGCCCGAACCCTGGACTTATTCTTCAGGCTCTGACCCTCTCAAATGCCAGCGACGGCTTCAACCTGGAGCGGCTGGAGATGCTCGGCGACTCCTTCCTGAAGCACGCCATCACCACGTATCTCTTTTGCACTTACCCCGATGCTCACGAGGGCCGTCTGTCATACATGAGAAGCAAAAAGGTAGGAAGCCCAGAGTCCGTGTTTCTGAGCCATCGGTAACCGTCTGGCGTGCTGGCAGCACCACGCTGGCGGTGAGCCCGGCCAGGGGATGTCTCGCCCTCAGAGGTGGCCGTTTCAGGCGCCCACAGCTGTCATACTGCCACCGGGCAGTGCAGCCGGGGCTGTGAGCACCCAGCCGAGGACTAGAGTTTGCTTCTTGGTGGGGAAGCACGTAGGTGTCTGTACGTGTCGTCCTTAACTGCTGGAAATCCCAGTGCGGCACAGTTGTTCAGGTTTTACTTGGGCTGAATTCATCATTTATTTGGGAGGGTACTGTCTTTGTGGACAAGCTCAACGTTGAGTTTTTGGGGAGCTGAGGAAGGGCGAGAACTCTGCACCTTTTCACCGAATCGTCCTGACACTCGAGTCAGATATCCAGGGCCCAGGGTCCTGAGTTGGTTCTGACTCGCTGCTCATTGTGACCCTCCTGTGGGTTTCCAAGGCTGGAAATCTTTACAGGAGGAAACTGCTCCTCTTTCTCCCCTGGAGCGGTGGGTGGATTTGAACTGCGGACCTTTCAGTCCGCAGTGCAACCTTCTAGTCTGCACTGCTAGAGCCCCTTTCTGATGGCCCCAGAGCAGGGCTCCTCACCTTCGTCATGGAGGGACGACCTGGGGAACACAGTCACTGAAGGCGGATCCTTAGGAGATGCTGAAAGGGGTCAGGAGGCAGCAGGAACCTCCCGGGGGCAGCCGCTGCTGACCAACCGCTGGAACCGGGGACAGTGTTAGTGGGAGAGGTGAGCTTGTGTCACATAAACAGAGTACATCAGTGACAGTGTTGGTGTCAGTGTCTCTGCTGGGACCCCCGTAGGAGGACGGAAAAGTCTAGAAAGGGGGTTTCAGGGGGCGAAGCTGTGTGACAGAGCGTGGACAGTGCAGGGGAGGGACTTTGAGCAAGAGACTTTGAATAAGATGGCATTTGGAGTGACGCGCGCTCAGGCAGCCTCAGAAGGGTTAGGGGTTCGCGGACCATGGGCGGCCAGTGGTGTGGCTGGGCGAGGGCAGGCTGGGCGTATTTTAGGAAATGGTTTTTGACTTGCACGTGTAAAGGGCTCCTTCGACGCTGCTGCCAGTCACCTTGTGTCCACTACTCCTTTCCCTCCTGTCCTGTGACGATCCCGCCATTCCTTCCTACTCTAGACCTCGGACTCCTTATTCCCGGCAGGGATGACCCGTGCACTTGCTGCTTGGCTTCCACTCCGGGTCTTCATTCCCGCCAGGCATCACCGCACCTCAGCACTTGACTGAGGGGGGTCCTTCTGGAAGGACACCCCATCTCCTCTCTGACCTCACCTGGTTCCTCCTTCCTCCCCATCCTGTCATCACGTTCCATCTGCCTGGACAGGTTTTCTGTCCCGTTCTTCTCTTGAGTCCTCTCCAATACTGTGTCTGGTGATGGAAAAGGAATGGTCTGTGTGTGAGGCTGCTGTGGCCCAGGCAGTCCAGAAGTGGGTGTCCAGTGCAGGAGGAGAGCTGGCCGGGCGTCCAGTCCAGGAGAGCTGGGTGCAGGGCCGATGGCCTGCAGACTCTCAGCCCTTCACAGGGGCCTTAGCCCTGCCCTCCGACTTGCTTCTGTTTGGGGTGCCTTGCCGAGTCTGGGTCCGGTGGTGGATGATCTTCACCTCACAGCCGAGTTACAAGGGGAAATGGACGCATGAGGCCCTGAAAGGCAAAGGAGCCCAGACTGAGGGAACCAAACGTGAAGTTGACAATTCTGGACCTGAGTTCGCAAGTGAAAGCTAAACAGAAATGCCCCAGTTAGAGTGGAATAGGGAGAAGGTTGAGGCATTGGGAAAATCCAGGGGAATTATTTTTTCTTGTCTTTGCTTTGTGACCATTTGAAAATGGCTGAACAGAAATAACAGATTCCATCCAAGACAAAGGAGAATATTGGGAGCATGACCATTGAAATCACATTTCTGGCTGTGGTTCTGGTAATAGAAAGTTGTAGCTCTGTTCAGTGCCAGTTGGAGTTCATGGCATTTCCCTTGTCTTTATTTGACCCGGGATATTCTGACATCTTGACTTTTAACATGGATTCCTTTGCTATGAAAAGTCCCATTTAACACTTAATGGCATCAGATTATGTTTCAAACTTTTACAGTTGTCTGTTTCTTAAGATACAACACATTTGTATATTTATATGATCAGGAGTTTGTATTTTATATTCAGTAATATTCATGGAACTACAGTCCCAAATACAGAGTAGTTGAGAATTTAAACCCTTTATGAATTTAGGAAAACTGCATAACCCTTGGGGTTGGCCGGTTTTAGTAAGAACAGGAGTCTTGGTAGCATAGTGGTTAAAGTGTTTGGCTGCGCACTAAAAGGTGTCTGGTTCGAGCCCACCAGCTGCTGCAGGGGAAGGCTGTAGCAGGCAGGTCTCAATCCTGGCTTCCTCTGGGCCAGCGCTGCTGTGCCGTAGGGTGGCTGTGAGTTCAGATCAGCTCGGTGGTGGTGGGCTTGGTGTTGGTGAATGTGAAGAGCACTTCTGAGGATGGGCTAACTTGGATGCCCTGAGGAGTGAGCCGTTTCTGCATCTTTCCCTCTAAAGGTCAGCAACTGTAATCTGTATCGCCTTGGAAAAAAGAAAGGCCTGCCCAGCCGCATGGTGGTGTCCATATTCGATCCCCCGGTGAACTGGCTTCCCCCAGGCTACGTGGTCAACCAAGACAGAAGCAGCTCCGACAAATGGGAACGAGATGAAATGGTAAGTGGGGGGTACATGCTGGGGCAGGACGGCTCCACTGGCTTTGAGTGGTTCTCCCGGCGTGTGTCTGAGAGAGGGAGGGAAGGAAGGAGGGAGGGATTTGATGCTTCACTAATTCCTTCTACTGGGTGTTGTTTCTTTGACTCTTCAGGCTGTCTGTGTGTGATGGGAGTTGATCTCTGTTTTGACACTCGGGGTAGTGTCTTTGCTGCGGCTTCCGGTGTGAACGCGTTCATGTCAGGGACATCTTTCTTGGGGAGCCCACGGTTCCTCTCTCTCCTTGGGCAGGACCCTTTCTCCCCAGGGAACATAAGAGGAGTAGTTTTCTGGAGACCATTTCAGTCTTACCAGGACTCCTAGTGTCAGCATAGCTGCTTCATTTGTCTGGTCGCCAAGGCCACCAGAGGGCACTTCAGAGGGCCGGAGCCCTGGGAGCAGGGAGTCCTGGGGAGCAGGGAGCCCGAGGAGCAGGGAGTCTTGGAGCGGGAGCTCCAGGAGCAGGCAGCCCCTGGAGCAGGGTTCCCTGTGAGTTGGGAGCCCCGGAGCAGGGAGTCTTGGAGCGGGAGTCTTGGAGCGGGAGCCCCAGGACCAGGCAGTAGTCGGCTGGCTCTTGCCAGGGTTGAAGTGACTCTGTCAGTTTCATTTCCTGGAGATTTATTTTGCATTAGTGATAAACTGGTCTGTTGTTTCTTCACTTGTGCATCAGGCCAACAGTGGTACTAGCGTTTCTTTCATAGCTTCTGTGTTCTGTGCTGCGTGAGATAGTGTTGGACTCAGCACACTCCTGGCTTTGACCTCTGCATTGAGTCTTTTGTAAACTCTGGTGGCATTTTGACTTATTAGAGAAGTTGAACTTATCTCAAAAAGCACTAAGTACTTTTGCAAATTGTATCCAGCAATATTGTATTTATAAGAAATTTTGATTAAACTGAGAAAAGAATTTTTGAAGCTCTTGAAAGCTTTGAGGAAATGTGTGGGTTTAAAAAAAAATTTTTTTTTAATTAAAAAAAACAAAAAACCAAACCAAACCCACCTAAAAACAGTCCACTCACAACTGTTCTGCTTTGTAAGTATTTTTCATATTACATCTGGGACTCTTTTTGGTGGTAGTTGCTGTTAATTATACATTAAGCTCATATTGACATGTCATTTTACATTTTTTTTTTTCAAGATAAGAACATGAAGTTCTTTTCCTTTCCGTTTTAATATCTGATGGTTTGGCACTGTATTCCTGTAAGACATTACACTGTTGTTTAGAAGTTGTTCCTTCTGCTGTGTCGTCCTGCACTGCGTAGTGTTCCACAGTCGACGTTCTAGATGACAGCATGCTGTGGGATTTGGACATTGTGTGAACCCAGCAAACTCTGTTTTCGGTCTGTCTTTAACTTAAAGAAGTACCTAAGTTGGAACAACGTTTTGTACTGTCAGCAGTGTTGGTCTTAGGATATGGCATACAGTGTAGCTTTCTGTGCATGGGGGAAAAAAATGAAAAACAAAACAAAACACCAAAACTGCTTGCAGATACACTACCACATCTTTAAGGTTACGCATTTTAGTGTCATAGAAGCACTTAATTGCACCTCAGATTTTTCGTAGCATAGGCTTTGTGGGGAGGAGGGGAGGGCCTGTTTGAGGTTTTGGCCTTATGTGTTTAGCCTTTAACCGAGTGGGCCGCTAGCGGCCACGAGTGTTCTGGAGAGAATGCCGTGTATGTTTGGCTTCCTCCGTCGCCGGGCTCCCACCGCAGATCGCTGTAAATGAAACCTTTGCTTGGGAATGTCCTAGAGTCCTAATAACTCTATTAGGGAAGCTGAGTTAAAGGTCAGAGGAAAGAGTTTGTGCGTGTGGGGGTTTTTTGGTTTAGTTTTTTTCAGAACTTGACATGCTCTTAAAATTAGGAGTTAACTCCTTATTTTACAGATGAAAAATCTGAAACCCAGAGGCCTTAAAGTACTTGCCCAAGATCAGATGGCCTGAGAGTGATCAAATCCAATCATTTTGCTTATTTGTTACTTTTTGTATTATGGCGGGGTTTTTTTTTCTTACGGGCTCACTAAAGATTCGGAGATTTTGAAACAGTGTTTTGAAAAGTCAGTCTGGTTTTTTGTTTTGTTTTTTAATTGAATTTGACCTTTTCTTGGTCTTAAAGACCAAACAGGCATCAATAAACATCTTCTAGTCCTTTGGAAAAAAGATAGAGCTTTTTGAAAAATAGTATAAGTTAGTTTTAGATAATATGGGTTGGTTCGCTGCTATTATTTCTTTTCAAATAAACATACAGCCTTGTTTGAATCTGGTTTAGTGAAATATTTGTAGTGTTTAAAAAATGCTTGACAGAAAGTTTGAAAACTCATTGTCAGAGTTCTCTGGTGGGGAGTTACTGCAATCAAAACTGAGGCACGCCTCCCACCTTGCCCCCAGAGTCAGGTTGTTGGGGTTTTGGTTTTTGTTTTTGACACAACAGAAATTTGGCAGGTTTCTAAGCGCTGCAAGGAAGTCACAGCGCTGCGGAAGCCGAGCCTGTTATTAAGGTTGTCATTCACAAATAAGCTTTTGCCAAAGAAATTGGAATTAGCTGAGATCTTCTGACAGAAATTGGGTTGTTGTGTTTCATGTTAGTCTAAATTTTCTTCTATTTTTGTCAGTTACGCTGTGATCTGTTGCCCCGTTTCTGGAGGAGCCCCAGGCAGAAGAGGGAAGCAACAATTCTCAAATTGATAGCTTCATTCAGTGATCATTTTGATTTTCCCAGCAAAACAGTTTAGTCTTATATTAGAGCAGATGTGCTTTGAATTTTAGGAGAACTATGGGTAAAACTTTTTTGTGAAACTCTGATGCCTGGATTTTTTTTTTTTTAACATTTTAAAGTATTTTTTTTCCATTTTCATATTTTACTCTGGCTTACGTGCAGAGATGATACTTCTCCATCTGGCCATCCATTTGATTAATTGGAAAAGCTTTTCTGAAAATCAGGTCAGCGCATTTTAAACTTTGTCCGTGAAATTGAAGGTTCTCGCTGAGCTCAGAGTCCGGCCTTTGATTGCGTCGCCTGCCCCAGTGAACACACCCAGCCCCGAGTGTGCAGCGGGGACGTGCATTTCTGCTTTACTCCCTGCACAAAAGGCTTTCACTTAAGGTTTCAGAGTGGATAAAGGTCACTTTATAGCTTAGAAAATGAGCATTCAAAGGCCATGTTTTACTTTGTTTATATGATTAAATAACTTATTTATGTTAATTGAAAACAAATGGCGGTGATTTTAAAGTTGCCTTTTAGTATTTGTGGTTGTCATTTGAAATTATCCATAACCCTTGCTTTTATTGAGTTTCAAACCCTTTTAAAAACAGCAGTCATGCCTTCCCATGCCCTCTTGTTGCAGACAAAAGACTGCATGTTGGCTAACGGCAAGCTGGAGGACGTCTGTGGGGAGGACGAGGAGGAGGCCGAGGCCGAGGCCCTGATGTGGAGGACTCCCAGGGAGGAGGCGGACTATGAAGACGACTTCCTGGAGTACGACCAGGAGCACATCAAGTTCATTGACAACATGCTGATGGGGTCCGGAGCCTTCGTCAAGAAGATCAGCCTCACGCCCATCGCCCCCACTGACGCCGCGTACGAGTGGAAGATGCCCAGGAAGTCCACGCTGGGCAGCTTGCCATTCCCCTCGGACCTCGAGGACTTCGACTACAGTTCCTGGGACGCCATGTGCTACCTGGACCCCAGCAAGGCGGTGGAGGACGACGACTTCGTCGTGGGCTTCTGGAACCCGTCGGAGGAGAACTGCGGCGTGGACACAGGCAAGCAGTCCATCTCCTACGACCTGCACACGGAGCAGTGCATCGCCGACAAGAGCATCGCCGACTGCGTGGAGGCCCTGCTGGGCTGCTACCTGACCAGCTGCGGGGAGAGGGCCGCACAGCTCTTCCTCTGCTCCCTGGGGCTCAAGGTGCTCCCTGTCATTAAGCGGACGGAGCGTGACAGGGCTGCTCGGCCCACCAGGGACAGCTGTGGCGGCCAGCAGAGCAGCCTCCCAGCCAGCGGGGTGACCACAGCCACCTCCCGCCCCTCTGCGCCCCGAGACCAGCAGTACGGCTGCCTGAAGATCCCGCCACGCTGCATGTTCGACCACCCGGATGCGGATAAAACGCTGACCCACCTCATATCTGGCTTTGAGAATTTTGAAAAGAAAATCAACTACAGTTTCAAGAACAAGGCTTACCTTCTGCAGGCGTTTACGCACGCCTCCTACCACTACAACACAATCACTGGTAAGGACCCCAGAGCTGAGCGGGGCATGGGCGCATGGTGGGCAGTGGGCAGGCACCGTGCTCCATGCGCACGCAGGGGAGGATCCGGGGAAGACAAAGCCTCCTTTGTCTCCCCCGCCTTTGGGGGAGCAGAGCTCCTACCTGTGCTGGCGGGGAGCCCCGCTGTCCTCTCCCCGAAACCTCTCCAGTGGGCGGCCTGGCTGTTCCAGGTCTTACACATTTCCAGCTTTGGCAGGTGCAGTGCTGGCCCTGTCCTCTTGGTGGGACGTGTCCTGTCTTCTCCTTCCCTGACCACACTCTCTGTCCCTTACCGATGATGGGCTGTGTCCTGTCTTCTCCACCCCTGACCACGCTCTTGTCCCTCACAGTTGGTGGAACAAATGCCTGTCTTCTCCTCTGACTGGTTTCCGCCTCACATAGATTCTGGCTTTCTTAGGTTCACAGCTTGTAGACAACGTCACATTACAGCCTTCATCCTGGCAGAAATGTTCAGGGCTGCTCTGAGGGGTCTGCATCTACCTGTTTTTCTGGCTTTCCCCTGGCAGAGGTGTCCCTCCCAGTCTGAGTCTGGAGGTGATGGAGCAAGGAGGGGCTTGCCTGGCTATTCCTCTGTCCCCCTTGGGTCTGTTTTGTGCCGTCTGGTTGAAACAGACTCATAAGTGTTCCCTCCTGCAAGATTTCAGAGGCAGCAAAACGCACAGGAGGAGATTGCCCATGCTTCTTCCAGGGAGCAGCTGGTGCATTCAAACTACATCCCTTTGCATTGGCAGCAAGTGTTCCTTACCATGAGAGTAGTTCAGGTGAAGACAACCTGAAAACGTAAAACCAGAGTGTGGCCTGCACAGGGCAGGCTTGGGGCACCAGAGGCAGTTTTTCTTTGAGGAGGAGAAAACATAAGTTTGTTTCTTACGCCTTTTGCTGAAGTCTTGAGACAGCCCTGTGCTCTGGGCCTTGCCTGTCCCACCCTTGCCTCTTATCTCTGGTTGTTGGGCTGTTCTGCCCTCAGTTTCTGTAGCAGGGAGAAATTGGAGATGTGGGGTGGGGAGCGGGTACCTTTCTGAGTCATTGCTCTCAAGGCTGTGCTCACTCCAGGCCACGTTCAGGAGTGCCTTGGTGGTGTGTGTCAGAGCCCGCCTGTATCGGTCAAGTGAGGAGGGGGTTTTCCTGTCCCGGCTGCCATCCTGGGTGACTTATGTGCCCAGGAGTGTAACTCTGGAGGGGTGAGTCCATTCCAGAGCATGTATGGCTGACGGCAGCAGGGGGCCGCTTGAAAAGTGCCGAGGGGCCTGCTTTCTTGACGTGATGATGTGTGACCGGGGCTCTGGAGGGCCCTGAGCCGGAGGAGAGGGTCAGTGATAATGATGTCATGGGGATATGGCTTTCCTTAACAAGCACTGGTCTTCTGTCCACTTACAAGATTTTATGACCCCAATTCATATGTAAGGAATGTGCTTAATTTGTCATTAAAACGTAATTTCCAGGGGCTTTGTCAAGTTATTAGGGACAAAATATGATGTGTCCCGTCACCCTGTGCTCTGAGTGTGGGGCGGTTCTCTGTAGTGGGCTGGGAGTGGGGGGCACACAGGCTCACGGCTCCCCCGTGACCCTCTCAGATTGCTACCAGCGCTTAGAATTCCTGGGAGATGCGATTTTGGACTACCTCATAACCAAGCACCTTTACGAAGACCCTCGGCAGCACTCCCCGGGGGTCCTGACTGACCTGCGCTCCGCCCTGGTCAACAACACCATCTTCGCATCGCTGGCCGTGAAGTATGACTACCACAAGTACTTTAAAGCCGTGTCCCCCGAGCTCTTCCACGTCATCGACGACTTCGTGCAGTTCCAGCTGGAGAAGAACGAGATGCAGGGCATGGATTCCGAGGTGAGCTCCCGCAGAGGCGAGAGGGACATGGGGGGTGTTTCAGAGGCTGGCTGTCCATGCCCAGCTAGAGGTCGACCAGGGAGTGCCTATGCTGGTCATCTGTGCGGTCATTCGGGCGGAAGGGCGCCGTGTGGCTGTGAGGCCGTCCTGTCCGGGCCTGACTGTCCTAAAGCATTAATTGGGGCTTGGTTTTGTCAGCGGATCAGTGGTGTCTGCTAATACCTCGGGTAAGCATCAGGGCGCCCGTTCTGCTTCTGCTTGAAATGGGAAAAGCCTCATTTGAAAACCAAACTTTGAAATGCTTTAACCGTTGGAATCCGGGAGACTGGTCCTATTAAGTTCAGCCAAAGGTTCTTTGGTGATGGAGCTAATCTAATGTTTTTGGGACCTGGTTTAAATTTTTTGTAGGAAAGGATATTGCTTAGATCTTTCCAATCTCCTAATCCTTCGCTAACATTCATCTGCATACCTGTATCCCCAGGAGAGCACTCTCGTTTCTCCCTCTTCTTATCCGCAAGCCTTTCCTGCTCTCATTTTCACAGATTTCTTCTCAGGACTTGGCGTTTAGTCATAGTTCTGCTAGTGGCTTTAATTGTGTGTTTGGTTTTTTTTTTCATTTGTACCTTCTCTTTGACTCTGCTTTAACGTTTCTACCACACCATTGTTGAAGCGCAACTTGCTGGAGTTTTCTGAGAAAAACTCCGACTCTGAGATTTGCTGTGATTGGAAATGCAGCCGCAGGGCGGAGTGCGTGCTGGGGGACCAGGGGCCGGGTCGTTATTTCCCCGCAGCCTGAGCTGACCCTGCGGGGGGTGATGTGTCCGTATACGGACACGAGAGTGGGAGGCACACCGTCCAGAGAGAGTCAGGATTATCGCTGGTCTCCTTTTTCCCTAGAAACGCGGAAGCATAGAATGTGAGGAAGGGGTTAAAATTAGACCCAAGTGAGGCAAGGGCGTAAAGGTGCTGTGAGTTTTTGTTGGTTCTTTTTCCATTTGTTCATATAAACAAATGGAAGTTAGAGCATCTGATTGGAAATGCCCGGGCCTAGCTTTCCTGTCGTACCAGCTCTTTGATGTCAAGAAAGCCCCTCAGTCTCCTCGTCTCCGAAGCAGAAATTTTGAAAAATTCTAAACTTGTTTCAGCTCAGGAGCGTGATGGCGGAGCAGTTTTTTTAAAGCGAGTTTTTACAACCTCGAGGCCTTTATGTGGCTCAGAGGTCTTATTAGAAATGATTCCTTTTCCGTCTTAATTTCTGCTCCACAGTAACATATGTTTATTTTGGGAAAAGTGGAAAATACAAATTAGCAAAAATTAACTGAAGATAGCCAAATAAGCCTTTCCAGAAAGAATTGGTATTTGCATTTAGGGACGTGTCTCTTGTTTATAGACATGAACGTACATACACGTGTAAGGGGCGCTTAGGTCCCTGCAACCAGTTCTTCTGAATGCTTGGGGGTGACTGTCCAGGCCGTGGCTGGCAGCCTCACGCCAGCTGGTCAGTGATCATGTTGGAAGTTGTTCAACCAGCCCTTTGTGAGTGGATCTGCACTTTGTCTTTACAATAATGAGGCTTTTTAAAGCAGCACAGGTGGGACTGTCCGGCCAGTTACCTCCTCACGCTCACTCCCGAGAGTCAGAATGGCTGCCCCCGAGTTGGCAGCGCTGAGAAGGCTTTGCATGCATACCTACGTGTTTATGAATTTGCATGCCTTCTGTAAGCCAGGTGCCCTGTTGTTACAAGGAGCATGTATTGAGTGGCTTAATAAAAAAGGGATACCTGGGAAAATATCGTCCAAATAGAAATTCTCTGCCAAAAAAGGAGAGATTCCTTCTCCAAGCAGTGTGTGTGCAGGCAGCACCCCTAATTAGTGTGCTGTTTAACCCTTGCCAGGCTGCTGGAAGCAGAGCTGTTACCGGATATAGCTCTAGGATCACTAGTGATTTATTCCTTGTCCTGCCCACCCCCAGTAAATCTGTGGACGTTAGAATTTCCTGTTAAAGATGCCTTCATTTTTATTTAGAAGTCATCCTTTTTTGTTGTTGTTATTGTTGAATGTGGAATATTAATTGGGGAGAGAGAGGACTTTTTCATTAGTCTTCCCCCTCCGCCCCCACTGTACTTGAGATGTTTGGGGTAAAATAAACTTGATTGTTTTAAAACTAAAATAATGTGGAAAATCGATCACAAGGCCGGAAGTGTCATGGTCCAGCCCTAAATGGTTGGAGTTGCTAGTTTTGTTGAGGACATTGGAATAAAAGTCAGACCCCAGGAGGAGGCCCGTGCCAGCACTGTCCACATGTGACTTTTCTCTCTGTAATAGCTCAGGAGATCTGAAGAGGATGAAGAGAAGGAAGAGGACATCGAAGTGCCCAAGGCCATGGGGGACATTTTTGAGTCGCTCGCGGGTGCCATCTACATGGACAGTGGGATGTCTCTGGAGACGGTGTGGAAGGTGTATTATCCGATGATGCGGCCTCTCATAGGTATCGTTGCCTCCTCGTCACAGGAAGGGGAAAATGCACACTAAGGTCTGTCCCCGCAGCGTTACTCACACCATCCTTCCCTTTTGACTGCAGAAAAATTCTCTGCAAATGTGCCCCGCTCTCCTGTCCGAGAATTGCTGGAAATGGAACCAGAAACAGCCAAATTTAGGTGAGCCGAAAGGTGCAGGGGGCAGCAGAAGGGAGTGGATGAAAACCAGGGGGGCCCAGCTCTCAGACACCCTGTCCCACGGACATGGGACAGTGTTTACACCATGAGGTGCTCTCTTACAGCTTGTGTTGTATTTGGACTTTCAATCTTCCTTTTTGTTTTTATAAAGTAAGCCTGAGCTCCAGAAGACACGAGCGCGGGTGGCGGGGGGGACCCCGTAGGGCCTGCTTCCTTTGTGTGCTGTGAGCCCGAGTGCGCCTGCCCGCTGCTGATTGACAATAATAATAAATACTGCTGGCCCCTAATTCGAGCTGTGTGGGTTTTTTTACAGCCCGGCGGAGAGGACTTACGACGGGAAGGTCAGAGTCACGGTGGAAGTTGTCGGCAAGGGGAAGTTTAAAGGTGTCGGCCGAAGTTACAGGATCGCCAAATCAGCAGCAGCAAGACGGGCCCTCCGAAGCCTCAAAGCTAGTCAACCTCAGGTCCCCAACAGCTGAAGCCCCTTTTTAATACCAACAAACAAAAACACAGAGTTAAGGGGGAAGTATTTAAATTGAAAAGGATGATTTTTACAGTTGACATTGAACAGAATGAGTTGAAGACAGAATTTGAAGTTTGTTTGATAACCAGATTAGCTAACAGAATAAAACATTTAACATATGTATAAAAATTTTTGAAACTAATTGTAGTTTTAGTTTTTTGCGCAGACACAATCGCGTGTTCTTTCCTCACTTCTGCTGTCTTTCAATCACACGAGTGCTTTAACGGTGACAGTTAGCAAGGGTTCAAGCATCACGGACAGGTTTTTGTTGCTGTTTATGTGTGTTCTTTTTCTCTTCATTTCATTCTGGTCGGTTTTGCTTAATGTTACAAGGCCAAGGAGCTTAGACAAGAAGAGTCCCTCGGCTGTCCTTAGCAGCAGTGCGGCTCGGTGGCAGCCGATGTGCCGATCTGAGGTGGGTAGGCCTCGAGGGGAGAGTACCTGTGTTGTCTTTTTCCTTTCAGGTGGGAGATGCCGTCCCACGTGCCCCATTGCCATGCAGAGTAACGGGCAGTGTTTTCAACCCCCAGCGGCTGGCGTGTTGGTGGATGAAACTTGTTTTCTGATGCCACGTGGTCTGTGTGAGAAAGGTTCTTGCCTTACAAGCCCAGCCTTCCTGGATTGGCTTTAGTTTCTGATCTTTCTGGAACAAGCTCTTCTACATTCCCGTCATGCCATTCTGCATCAGATGCTGCGACAGTGTTTTTACAGCTCGCAAATAAATTGTAACCTAATTTATTGCAGGATTATTCTAGAATTTCTGCCGTATGTGTCCTGAAGTCATTGAAAACTCAGAATATATAGCCTATGATTTTTTTTTTAAATGCCATAGTAAAAATTATCTTCATGAAATATCTAATTTTCCTAAAATCCCCCTGCTAGGGAATCTTGCTGATAGAATTGTTTACGGCACATCTTTCTGCCAGGGAGGCTGTTGCTATGTAACAGAGTAACTTTAGACATATCACACCTAAACTATGCTGCAGACTTAAGACTCGAACGATTGCTTGTGGAGGGAAGCAGGGAAGCGGGGCAGCACACCTTTCCCTGCGCCCTCTCACCTGACCCTCTGCCTGTTCTCACGATGTCGCATGCCTGTCCCACCTGCCATTCCCGGGGAGGGGCCATTCCCGGGGAGGGGCCATTTGCAGGGAGGGGCCATCACCTTGCTGCATCCGTGATTTGGGTCGTTAATTCTGATAAACTAGCTCAGTGTTTCCATCTGTGAAAAAGAAAAACAGGACAGCACATTTTTAGGCCTTTGCCTAAGTTTCTTTAAGTAGACTTCTCAGCGCTCCTAAATACCTCAGTTCTTCTTTCTGTCGCATGCGTTTCCCCCCTGTTTGGTGCTATGTTTATGTATTATGCTTGAATTTTTTTTTTTTGCACTGTAACTGTAATACCTCTTAATTTACCTTTTTTGAAAGCCGTGGGTCAGTCCTCCACTCCCACTGACATATATGTATAGATATATACCAGTGGAAGTTTGCTGCAGTTTGCCCCATTAATTATGCTTGAAGTTCAGAAGGCTAGCAGAGGGGGCATGCTTTCCTGCACATGGATCTGAACTTGATGCTTCATGGGATGTGGCATTGACGTCTTCAGTTCAGTCACCTGCCTTACCTCTGCTTCCTGCACCCCACCTGCCCAGGACCCGCTCGCCCCAACCCGCTGAGGAAGCCAGCCTGTATCCCCAGTGCTGTCCGTTGTCACCAGTCAGAAATCCAAGTTGTGTTCTAAATTATCACATGAATATTTTTTTAGTCCATTAACTTCTATGGACTTATTTTTACAATAGTTTATCATGACTTAAAATCTTAGATTCTGATTTGATATTTTTTTTTTCTTCCTTAAATTCAGTGTGTAGGTTATGGCAAGTTATAACCCAGGAAACACTTGAATTCCGTAAATGTGTGCAGTGAGTGAGGCGAGCTGGGAGTGGGTTGGGAGGAGGGTGATGGGTGCCAGCGCTGGCCACTATCCCAGGCCGTTCCTGAACTACCTGCCTTGTGGGGAAGGCACTAGGACTTTCCCATCGTGGGAAAGGAGGCCCTCGGCCCGTGGCCCCAATCAGAGGGTTTCATAGTGTGACTCCCTCCGGGAGAAAAAAAATGCCTCAGTATCTTTTGTAACCTGATGTAGAGTATTTTTGGTTAAGATGGAAAGTTCAGACTTGGATATGATCAGGTCAGCAATTCTCAGGGGTCTCGATTTCCTGCTACCATTCCGAGCGTTTTCTTAGCAGCAGACTTGAACCGTTTGAGCTTTTTGTTGGAGGAGAAACAGCAGACTTTTCCGGGGTGCCTCCCACTTGGAAGCATCTGTGATCCCCTGGTTGTGAGGCCGGGACGAGAGAGCGGCAGGGCTGGGAGGTGTTGAGGGAAAGCTGCTGGGGGGAAAAGTGTGTGGTTCTTCCTGCCCTGCCTAGCATGTTGGGACATTGTGCGTTTGTCAGTTGGGACCGAAAAGGTGCTTCGTGGCTGTAGGGTCAGATGGGAGGCCGCTCTGGGGAGGTGCGCTTGGCCAACAGCCCCCAGGGACTGGGGAAGCCGTTCACGGCGTGATGCTTCTTGGTGAATGTTTTCTTTTCATTGATAATGTCCTTCCAGCACCCCTAACGTGCTGCATCTCGTGCTAGCCCCCCGCTCACCCCTGTGGCACAGACAAGCACTGCACTTGGTACCATGCTTTACCTCATTTCAAGGAAAATGTGCTTCGCTGAGAGGAACGAAGGGGGTTTTTTGGCCTTGCTGCTGTTTGATTTACCGAATCTGCAGAGAAGAAAATTTTAATGCCTGCAACGTGTCATGTACTTGCACAACTTAAATAGGTCATTGTTTTGTTGGGTTTTTTTTTTTTTTGTCTGTGGCATTTTTACTGTTTGAAAGTATGACAAGGATTTGTTAAATGAACTCTTAAAATATGTTCTTTCAAATGTTTGTTACTTTCTTCTTCTCTTTTATGTTATGCGATATGATTAAACTATGACTTGTAGCACTCCTGTAATGATCTCTGAAAAATACTAATGTTTCTACTCTCTGAAGAATCGCTGGTCCTCAGAAAGCTTCCGAGACCTTGCCCAGCCAGCCACAAGGCTGGGGGTGACTCGGGTTCCGAAGATGGTGTTCATCCGGACAGCTGCACCCCAGCAGTCGGCTCCTCTCGCTTTACTTGAAATTAAGCTGTGACTGCAGAGGGCAGAATAGAATCGGAAACTAGGCCTCTTTGGTCTAAAATGTAGCCTCTTGCTGTCAGGCTCTCTGATCTTTTTCTACGTAACCTCGGCCACCAAACAGAGACCTTGATCCCTCCACAGCTACGTCCGGATTCCCCCGGAGCCCGCCCCTCACCTTTGGGCGCCATCTGCAGAAGAGACATTCAGTGTCACCTTTAATACCTAGATGGTTATTTTAATTACATTCAGATAGGTCTATTTTTTCAACCACTGATTACTTTTCAGGAATTTAATTCTTTCCAAATAAATTTCTTTATTTTATATTGTGCATGAGAAGTTTTTAAAAAGATAAGTTTAAGACCAAGGATATTAACAGCGATGCTGAGTGTTGTCGACGATGCCAGGAGCCATCGCGGGGGGTGGGGGATCTGCATCGAGGCGGGAGGGAAGCGAGTTTTCAGAAGAACTAACTTGTACATAGGTCGCCGTCTCCCCCGACCCTTCCTCGTCCGTTGTCACTTTACCAGCCGCCAGGCTGAGATAAACACGCGCTCAGAATTGTCAGCCACCGCGGGTGCTGTAGCAGAAACGCAGAGACAGACGAGAAGTGAGAGTTCCGGCTTTTCTACTGTAAATAGAGAGGAAGGAGAAATGGCTCCAATCAAGGAAGGTTAACAAGTGTAACTTGATTGACAGTAACATATTTGCCGTCACATGCTGCAGCCGGTTTTTAAGGGACATGGTGTCATTCTTGCCCACGCATCGCGTGTGCTGCAGAAACAGGCAGCCTGCACCTTACGGATCACAGTTCCTTTTAGTCTTATATATTATTTTTTTTTAAATAATTGTAGCAAGTAAATCTCCAATAAAACGATGGTCTGTTCACTTGGCTCTTTGGTGTCCACTCTTATTTTATCTCAAACTCTTGTGAGGGAGGACGTTTGGGGTCGGGTGGGGGTCAGAAGGGAGGGTTAAGTAAGGCAGGGTCTCACCGGTTCATTCCTTCCAGTTCCACCCCGGTAATGAGTGAGCCTATGTTTTAACGAGACCCCCAGACATAAGAATTGCTTGGGGAATCCTATTAAAATTCAGCTTCCAGTTGCACGTGTCTGCGGTGAAAAGGCAGATGCTTGGATGGGGGAAGGTGGTTTGAACGGAATGAACCAGTGAGTTCCGTGATAAAAGAGATCAGGAAGTGCATTGGTGAAGAGCATAGTTTAATGAGATACTGCTTACCCAGTTCTGTGTCTTGTGTACTGGTGGAATTCAGTAGTAACACGGGGTTTTGATTTAATTTTTTTTACAATCCAGTGCCCACGTTTTTCTGCCTTCTGCCGGTCTGATGGATGTGGTTCCCCCATTTGTGAGACATCGGACGTGTTCTTTTTTGAGCCCGGCTGTTCTCTAGTCCAGCGGGCAGAGGCCATGGCTGCCTTCAGGGTTCCTGACATTGCTGCCTCACTGGCTAACCAGATGCATTCTTTTTTAAATCTATAAAACATTATATATTGTGGAATTACATAATTCATTTTCCTGAGACATAATTGAAGAAAAAGGAGTACTGTAATTACCTGATACTGATCATTGCTCTTTCACCTCAAGCAGGAAACATTTTATACAGTGTTTAAAACTCTCCTGATGAGATCTCATTTACAATATAGCCATTGTTACATTAATTCATACAGTAACTTCTCTCCCCCTAGTAAAACATCCTGGGGAAGGAGATTTATGTATTGCTTTTACAGCATAATCTCACATTATCACTTACCCTTCCTGCCCCTCACTGGCCCTTCACGAGAAGGAGAAGCTG